ATAAATAAGACATCCACCCCCTTTTTTATAGGCTTTGTCTTGTCTGTATAATCTTTATCCACAGATTGTAATGTGTATCCGATATATCTGGCGTTAGCCAGGTCTCTGTAACCGAAACCACTGTCAGCTGTTTTGGGATTATTAGGGTTCGAAGGACTAATATTTCACCTATTATGGATCTCGCCTTTATGACCAGTGCTGTTAGATACAAGGGGCATTGGGAGAATGAAAAGAGAGAAGTGAGGTTACTGCTTACTACTGCTTCATCAGTGTGCTGATATATATCGCAGTTTTTTCTACCCCGTTTCAAGCTGTGCTTGGCATGAGTGGTAGGTGTTCTGCTTGTCGCTGTCGCTGGTAAATATGATAAGGGAAGGTGGTGCCGTTCAGCACACACCTTATTCCCGGCCTCGCTACTAGTTGTGGGGTCATCAACAACGCAGTAAATAGGTTCGGCGACAGGAGAGGTCGTTAGTGGAAAAAAATAAGCTGCATATTTGTGCTGTCAGGAATGTAGTAATTTCGAGACCAAGGATGGCTGATCTGTGAGTTGTACGTGGTGTACAGCCCATCATTAGTACTTTTGTTACTTCTTGGGTCCTGTGTTATAGACCAATATCGACGCGTTGCGTTATTATGCCTGTTGTCCCTAGGTTTCGGGACCTGGTTTGTGTTTGTGGAGGGAAATTTCTTACGACCATTCCTCGGGTATGTGTTTCTGCTGTCCGGCCTGTATCGAATGTGGTTAGTGAAGGTTGCCCCCTTTGGCGTCGTACTGGTTTTATTTGCATTCCTAGTTTCATTCAGCACAGCAGATGAGTTCATTTTGCTGGTTTTTGGCCTCTCAAATTTGCTACTCCCAAAGGAAGCGGTTTGTTTTGGTACAGGAGGTTTATTATTGTTTGCATTTGCTTGTGCCCTTCGTCGCCACTAGGCCTAAACTGCCGTGTTGTTCGGTTAGATGGGGGTGGGTCCAGGCCTACAGAAGTGGTGTATCTGTTACTATTGGTTGGCACATAAAGTATTTTTTCTTCTTGAGTGGTTTGCGGACCGACGGATTGCCGTGCTCGCGTGACTCCTGGATTTACTACCCGACTGTGTTGGCCAGCTGGTGCCGTCTTACCTAGCCTTTGTAACTTGATGGTATGCGGTGTAGGGCTTTTAGAATCAGTTATTTTACAAAGACACTGTTGGACAAGGACATTATCTTTAGACGTATCACTTGCTTGTTCCACAGTGGATGCATTGTTGTTGAGTACTATCTGGGGTTTTGCGTTTTTCCTTTGATGTGGGGTTCGATCTTGAGCTATCTTAATACGTCTAAACATATATTTTTGAATTTAGCACTATTGCCTAACGAAACAAATTGCCTGCACCCAAGGGATGATGTGAACTGGAACAAGATAAGGCATGCGAGTTGTGAGTCAGTCTTCCGAATCCTTTTACAATCACAAGAAACCTTTGACATACTACAGGCATCTCAGACCACAGCTCTAGCCTTTTTTGGTGACATACTTCCCGGAACATTGTAGACGATGGCTTTTTGTAGTGATGCAACCCGTCGCACCACCCCTGAGGCGATGAAGTCGACTAGGGTTTCAGCGCTTCTTACTTCCTCACTGTCTATATCATTGTGTAGACCAAAAAGATAAGTAACGGGTGAGAGCTGCTCAAGTGCAGTGCGGAGTTCAGTTAGCAAAGGATCAGCAATTTTGACCACATTGGAAGTTGCTTAGCTACTGAGATCCATGACAAAGTCGGCCATGCCCACAAAAGGAGGTTGAGACCTATTCGGAGAGTTTTGAGTCTGTATTCCGAACAGATCTGTGCAGCATTCACTTTTATTTCCCAAGCTATCTGTTCGAGATCTTTTGGCCTCACTTTATCCCATTAATACGTTAGTGTTTAGAAACTCTGGGTAAGTATCTCACCAAGGAAATGTTTCTTCAGTACAGTAATTGACAAAAGGATCACAGTCGACTAGTCTATTACACAGACAAAAGAATGGCGGGAACAGTATCTAGCGGCTGGTCCCCAGGAGGCCGATGATTCAATAGCACGGGGGATAAGTGCCTTGTTAGGCAGTTAGATACTTTTGATGTTCAAGAGTACTAAATCAAAAGATCGGTGGCGCTAAATTTATAGTTTAACAGATCACGTGTAAATTCAACGCAAGTTACCAACTCACCACCTATGAAGAAGCTCCCGCTCTCCAAGCAGTACAAATATCGGTGCACAGGTGACCGCGTAGCCGAGCGTACAGCCAGTCGGAGTAGCGTATTTTGACACTTACCTTTGAAGTCGGTGAAGAACACTGAGCATTTCACCGAAGGAGGGTGAGAGTCTATTGCAGTGATTTCTCATACGAGTTTCAAAACTAGACATGTGGAAACGATCAATCAGAATTCTATTGTGCTTGTCCTTTAAACTCCAGCTTCTCCAAACTCGAAAGGTTGTAGACTTCCGCTTTTAGGAGAGGGAGCAATGGTTTTATATTAGTCCTTAAAAACGTTTACCTCCTTGGTAGTTCCCTTTTCCCGAACCGATAACTTGCTGATTAAGACGTCGGTTTTCCTGGGATCCAATTGTTTGAACTGATAACTCGACAAAAATGCCGGTACGCTGTGAAGACGACGTTTGTTCTTTGCTCTTGTACTGCCCTGTCATGTTCTCTGAGGAGTTTCGACCCAGTGGTATGGAAAGGAGTGGATTATTTCGAAAGTTATCTCTTAAAATCTTGTATAGCACCTTTAGACTTACGCTCTATTCGAAATATGGTGAAGAGAAGAGATCCAGCTTCTGAAGTCGTTCTTCTTAGTTCAGTCTAGACACTGTAGTGATCATGTGGGTGGCCAATATACGAGATACTTCCTAGAGGTTGAGGTCACCTTTGCCGCTTATATACATTTTCTGGCTTGCAAATAATTAAGGATATGCATAAGGTTGTGAAAACATCACTACTTATGTCGGTAAAATTGCGCATAATATAGAATGTGATAAAACAAGCTGTGATCGGACAACAATTTGCTTTTTTCTCCAAATTACGACTAGTTGTCAGTCTTGAGTTGTTGTGTGTCAACTCTAAGGCTATATGGGCCTCACCAATGCCGTAGGCGTTGGTGTTTTCATGCTCCTTGTATATACATGCAAACTTATCTGCGTTGATAGATATCAACTGTTTTTGCGACTAAGTCGGCAAGTTGTCCAGGTGCGCACAAAGTGTGTGTGCGTCTTTCTTATCACTAGCGTACCATCAGATTTTCTTTTCACGAAGGTCATCATGCTATTTGGTGGTTCATTTGCCTGTGGGAGAAACAGCAAAGTACCCTGAACTATGACCTGTAGTACCCCATTATGTAACTACTTTCAGATGTGTTGATGAACGAACATTTCGTCTTGTTTCCTGCCAACCAAATACTGTCTGGTCTATACAAATAGATTGCTAGCGAATCCATGCCCCGCGGTTTCAGAAGCGATCCCAGTTGAGTTACGTCACTGAATTCCCAGCTGAAATCCGTGAAAATGACATCTAGTATTAAGGAATATTATTGATCCAGGTGAGGCCTCTGAGTTGTTCTGCATTGTCTGGGATGCGTAACGTGGTCCTGTATCTTTCATTGTTTCCGTAGGCAGCATCAAAACCACCTACTATGTGACTTGAGCTTACAGTATTTCTCCATGAGTGATTCAGTCGCTTGGCCTGATGAAGTGGCTCATGGTTCTCAGTTTCCCTTGGTTTTTGTCTCACTGGCTGCCCATATTTTCCTGTTAGTCCCCTCTTCACCTGACTTCTGATCTTGTAATTGCTCACCATTTTTCGTACTGGTTGATTGATTTCATCTATATCTATGCTTCTAGTGGTCGCTGACTGACCTGAATGCCTAGTTCCTAAAAATTAACTTTCCACCATCCCTATATTCCTAAAGTCGAATGAGCTTTCATATTCTTCCTCGAGTATTGATCTGAGTGGCCCAGTGTCTTGACAATGAATTGCCACGTAGGCGAAGACGAAGGGGGCTGATTGTGGAAATAACATTCAGGCTGTCTTCTTTGGCTGTTGCACTCGTCGGCCTGCGTAATGTGGTTTGAAGAAAATTTGCTGATTAACGATGACATAAATACTGTCGTGAATTCTCAAGTGTTCCTCATACATGGTTGGGTGATGCGTTTATTGATTTCCAGGATTGATATCGTATTTGACAATGAACATGACAGGCATCCTCGGATGAAGTTACATGGGTAATGGTTCTTCAAAGGGATGGACATAAATAACTTTTGCACAGCACAGCAGTGTCCTTTCGCTTTTGAACAAAATTTTTACGCACCTAATTTCTTTCTCTGTTGGGTGGCTGCAACTGTTACTGAGGTTTTTAGAAGTGTATGCTGACAAATTCTACAACTGAGTTTCCGATTCTGCAGCGTTCGTTCTACTGACTAAAAAGATGCAGGAATATCAATTCGCTGTTGAACTCCTTCATCACTGCAAATCTGATTCAGAGATTTTGGATGGAGGAAGTGTAGGGAACATCTGAGAATTTCGATAAGCTGGGATTCAGGTCAGCCAGCGACCACTAGAAGCATAGATATAGATGAAATCAATCAACCAGTACGAAAATGGTGAGCAATTACAAGATCAGAAGTCAGGTGAAGAGGGGACTAACAGGAAAATATGGGCAGTCAGTGAGACAAAAACCAAGGGAAACTGAGAACCATGAGCCACTTCATCAGGCCAAGCGACTGAATCACTCATGGAGAAATACTGTAAGCTCGACTCACGTAGAAGCTGGTGCTGATGATATCCTAACAGTTGTAAGGAAGCTTGCTCTCACTAAGAGACAGCCACAATTCAGTGATCAGTAGGCCAAATATATATGGGGACCTAGTCTTCTGAACAGCCAAGGTTGTTTATCATAAGTAGTTCACTGTGATGCAGTTTTACCTACTGACAGATAAATACTGATTGACGGAACCGGATAATCGTTTGATATGGCAGACGAATAATGTTATGCAGAATAGTGCTTCTTCACAGTTCCCAAGTGACCATCTCACTTTATAAATATGATGTATATAATGTTCCAGGCGCGCTTTACGTAACATGCGTTACTAAGGTAGTAGTTTTCTTTGTTCTATTTCTAGTTCTAAATATATGTTTTCTGCAACCCGAAGGACTTAAACACCTAAATCTATTTCCCTTTGGTTATCGCAGGAAGAGGGGTGACCTTATTATGACACACAAGATCGCCCATCAGACAGACCACGCAAACAAATCAATTTTGCCTGCAACTCGGCGATCTTCACGAGGAAACCTCATTAAGATAGCACATCAGAGCGCCAACACTATACTCAGGTTCAATTTTTTCTCCCTGAGGGTGTGCGCTTTGTGAAACGCTCCACCACGACGTATCGTTTTAGCCCCCTCAGTCAACTCATTCAAGAGACGTTTATAAAGTTATGTCACCTCGCATGGTCTACCACGGACGTATTCAGGGAGTAACCGACCCCACTAGCCCACTCCTACCTACCATTCACTATCTCGCTCCTTAATGCACCCACAATACCTACTAATTCTTTCCCAGTAAATAGACCCTCGCTATCTATTTTCACCTGCCGGGCAACTCCCATATACTTTTCCCTGCCTTTTATTTCTCTTCCCTGCCCTCTCTTTTTTCTTTTTCTCTTTTTATTCATTCCTTTTTCCCCTTCATTTTCGTTTTTTACCATTACTATACTATTCTCTTTCGGGTACATCCACAGACAGGAGTCACGGCAGTCCCCCAACCATCCCAGCAACCCGTAGCTCCCCAATCACTCGTCAAATTACAACTTACTAACCGACAAAACATCCACCTCACCGAAGCTAAAAGCAAGAAAGCAGAGGGGATTTCCTCGTCCACTGCAGGAGTGAACCGAACAACCGGAGCCAAGCCCTAAGAACCAGACGCGAGAGATCAAAAACTAGCAGTTTTCTATGCTCTCACTATCAGTATTGGATACTGGAACCCAAAACCATTATCTAAAACTCTTCTTATAGAATTTGCTGGTCACATACTTCTAGGTCGTCGAACTATTGAATATGACAGTATGTTGCTCAATATCATTGTCAATCTTGCCGAAAGTCATTTAGCAACTACATGCACGTTTTCCAGTAGACTACGATACATGGTTATTATGTGAAGGTCGTCCATACTATCATGTGGGCAAGGCAGCGTTCAAACCATCGGCATTTTTATGATTAAGAGTGATAAATTGCACTGAAAACATCATCAGTGTAGAATACCGTTCCATTGCGACGATTGTGATTAAAAACTCCAGTGGAAACAGTCTGTACACCTGCCTGGTACTTCAAACATTTTTTAGCGAACTCAATAGGGATCTCCAACCATTTTCTCCCTTTGTTTTGAGGACGTCAGTGAGTCTGCATCTCCCTACACGGCTCATACTAGCACTCGAAGATTTAATCTGCTCGTGCTAAGTATTGGTCTGATCACTCCAGCTTGCTTCCAACCCAACTATATATAGGTTAATATCGCCCGTTAAGGTAAGTGATGACTCAACATGTGTATCACTTGTTTAAGTTCTGTCTGTGGAAACTCACTACATCATCGTCATCATTATCAACTTGGGACCAAGCATTACTGCGTAACGGTCCGAGTTGCCACACCTCACGTCAGTTCATCAAGTAAAATGGTAGTGAGGTGAAGTATGAAGATAAGTGAACGCAGTCAAAAGAAATATAAAGTACGAGAAGAAAGGAAAAAGGAGTGACAAACTGGTGAGATTCGGTATAGCGTTGTTAGGATGAGGATAATGTGTGTATACATCTGCTCCACTGACTTCGGTTCTGAGCCATATCACCTAGGGTCTCCAACCACTGGTTCCTCTTGTCCCGTGGATCCCAACCACCTAGTCTGCATCGTCCTACATGGCTTAAACCAACAGTCAGAGACTTCATACATTGGTGCCATGTTTTGGTCTGGCCACCTCGGGCCTTTTTCCAGCCTGGACCCACCTCAGCCAACATTGTGTGATGAAGCAATCGGTGACTAGGCATACGTAGTACGTGTCCCAACCATCTCAGTTGATGAAGGTTCACAACCTCGTCAACTGACTAACCTCTTCTCCCCAAAACTCTACACCTAACTTCTGCATTACTCACATGGTGACACCACGGAATACGTCCTATACTACGAAGGCAACGGTGGTCAAACCCCTGAAGCCTTTTTATATCTTCCACTTTCAATGGCCATATTTCACAGCCACACAGTAGAACGGACCGGATTGCTGTGCAGTACACGCGACCCTTAATAGACAATTTGATATCACGGCGGCGCCATAGGTGGCGCAAATTGGCAAAAGCCAATCGAGCCTTTTGTATCCGTGCAGAAATCTCATCGGCAACTAACCCACCGGGGTTGATCCTACTTCCCAGGCAAGTGAAGTGGTCAACACACTCAACCACTTCACTCTCTACTGTTAGGAAACTCACTACCCCATCTACTGATTAACTTCTTTGCTTATTAATCTTCCTCCAACCTTCAAATAGCTCGTGTGGTGACTCTGTAGTGTTCGAACAGTGCTGAGAAGATGTGTGTGATCGAAAACCCGTAACCTCATATCTCCCACTTTCATCTACCATGTCCCACAACCATATAACGGGATAGTGCAAATCTCAGCACAGTCATTTCTTATCTTGTAGGTAGTTAGACATCTCACCGCTACCACGGATGATATAATTCGTCGACTTCTAAATGGGTCTTTTATTTCCGATATGAGATTCTCTCATCAGCCATTCCTTTTGGACTGATGCAACTTCTCAATTAAGTGGTCACTTTTTTCTACCGCTTACCATGATTACACTGAGAGTTGCTGCTTATCAGTATTGAGGCGTCATCCTTCGTGTATTAGCTGCAAAACTCAATTGTGAAGTATTGTGTATGCTTGAGGTGTTCGAAAGACTTGGTATCTTGTTAGCATCGTCACCTGACAAGACTGTCATCTGCATACTCCACTTCAACCAGGTACCCTACTGGAAGCAAGTCAGTATGTGTGACCGGAAGTACTTGTGGTTATATCCATTAGCACATCTTAAACAAATTTAAACAGGAATGGTAACAGTGAATATCATTGGCAGATACCAATGGTTGTTGCTACTGTAAATGACAACTTCCTTTAAGGCATGCAATCTTGTGTGATTTCATGTAGAAGACCCTTATTGGAATTACTCCTTTCACAGTCACTTTCACTAGCTATATTACGTTGACACCAATAGACCATCTTTCTCTATGGCTTAGCAATTACGTCGTATATGATGTTTCCTATACCTCGATTTCTACAACGAGATGATAGCTACTAGTTTTCTATCGTCATCTTTAAAAACAGAGGTCAGCAATAGCATTTTCTCAGTACCTTAGCAACCAAACTTAGAAAAAGATTTATCGTTTATCGTGGTGTCATCAAGTCATTAACCTAGTAGTCAGGCGTAAAGTCTTAGGCAGAAGAGGAAAAGTCAGTTTGTGACTTCGTCGACTTGAAGTGGCTTGTACATTGCGCATGCCTAGACACTGTACTTTGTCGTGGAATGTTAGCTGAGATAGATTCAGGCTGGGAAAGGTGGGCAAACCAAAGTATGGCATCAGCACCTGAAGTCTTTGACTGTTGGTCTGAGGTTTTTAGGTGGATGTAGACTTCCCAATTAGGGTCCACGTGATAACCGAAATCGTCGAAAGTCGAAGCCACAGCTCCACCAACCGAAATCGATGATTGAAGGCTCTCGTAATATGGCTCAGAATCGACCTCAGTGGAACAAGTGTACCCACACTTCGTCTTAATAGTCATACTAAATTTCAGCATCATCCCGTCCTTCTTCGCTCTTTTTTTATGACCACCAATTTTGACCGCTTTTATCCTTATTTCTCCATCTTTCAACTTAATGCATTCTCGGCTAGTGTGTTAATAAGGTTTGGTAACCTGGACAGCTGCGCAGTGATGGCAGGTCGCTTGTTGATATTACCTATCTGTCTATCTTGTTCGATTTTCCGGTTAGAGGTTTGGCGATTGTCAATCGGTGATACTAGCAACTTAAGGTATATTGCATCTGGACCTGGTGACCGCCAGTATATAGCCTATTCTGAACACGTTGAGTGATAACTTGAGGTTTAGGATGCGTTTCTCATCTAATTGTAGTTTTTACTTCATCGCTGATATTTATTATTACCTTGTTTGATAATGATGAGTAAAGTGATTTTTCTCCCTGAACTTCTCACTTTGAGAGTCGGATCAGCCTCTTTCGGTGGATTGCTGACAAAATCTAACCATAAATACCAAAGTACCAACTGGTTTTTTCCAAATAACGCATCATACGGTACCTAATTACCTACTCAGGACCTTTGTGTCAAGAAAACTCGAAATGCACTCAGGAGCCACGTTCACTTCTATGTGGTAGGCAATGAACCTGGTCTGTTCTGTGAAGCCTAGTGATACTACTTGACTATCAGAATCTCGGTAGATGGAGTTGGTTTTGAACCTGCCACCCACTAGTTGGAAGTCAAGTGCCAAAACCAATGATCTGCAGCTCTACGTGTGTTCTGAGTCAGCTCATTCTGTCCCACTAAATAGCTGTTAAGCATGGTCATTAAACGTGGGATGTATAAGAGGACTCCACGTGTTACCGCTGTTTTCTCCTTAGCATCAAACCTTTATTTCAGTCAAAGTGAAATACAAAGTGATTTAAGATTAATTTGGAAACAGTTGATGGCGAAAAGATTGAGGTGTCTCGTCAGTCCATGAGGTTTACAATTGTTATAAGGTATCCTGACCAACAATGGACTGGATAGCTTAAAAAGCCTGCACCGAGTTAGTATGATTCATCGTATAAGGTGTATTTTTATTTGTGTTATCCCGACGTAGTATATTAGAACAAATAACAAATTAAACAAATATTTTGTATCATTCCTCAACGATTTGATCTGACTAGGAAGATCTTTTTCAAGAGTATGAACCTGAAATTAAGTTTTCAGATTAATATTCAAGTTTTATTACAGGTGGTGACCTTTACGATCATCCAACTACATTGTGATATAGAATAAAGATTAGTGTAGTACAGGTGAGTGAATAAGCAAATCGGCTGGAGAGGCTTTTTCAATTACGCGAGTAAGGTGGAATAATAATAAGATGGGTGCGTGTGCTATATCTACTATATATTTATGATCATGGAAACTGAAAGTTGATAGGGTTAGAAACCATTATGCAGTTAACTGGAATTTATTGTATATTTGAGTCAAGGGCACAGAACGATCTACTTTTGATAACGACAGTTGCAATAGTGATGCTCAACGACCAAGTGGTGGTCTCTGTACGAACTTCTGTTATGTGAGAGCTACACAAAAAGGTTGTATTCGAACCAGTAAACAGTGGTTGTGTTCTCTCTAATTAATTATGCTACAGAAAAACAGAGAGACTTTTATGGGCCTAGGTAAAACTAAATTTATGATAGACTTAAATCTGCTGTTTCATTCACAAATTTTTGACATTAAAAATCCGCATACACACGTATTATTATTATTATTATTATTATTATTATTATTATTATTATTATTATTATTATTATTACAGATGTCTACAGCATTGGAGGGGAATATATGTTCAAACTGTCTGAAACAAAGCGATGTCTATCTAGTATGTGTTGAGTGCAGCCGTGTACAACTGTGTATTACTGTAAGTTTTGCACGTTTTGTTTTTTACTGTAGTGCTATTGTTATGGTGCTGAATCTGGAATGCATAAAAAGAACCATGGTTATCGCATTTCGGTAAATTCTCTAATATTTGTTTATTCAGTGTTAGAGGCTAAGTTTGTTACCACGTTCCATACTCGAAGGTTGGAGTTCTGAAGAGGAATTAAATCTTTTAGAAGCTTTGGAACAATATGGAATAGGAAACTGGTTTGTTAGTTTCTGATTCTGGAGTAATTCACTTTTCAGGGAAGATATCGCCTTAAAAGTGGAAACTAAAAGCTCTGAGGAATGCATGCTTCATTATTGCAATCGTTATTTAGACGGAGCTTTTGGCCTAGAGCTATTAAATGACAGCAATTATTTTTCTCGGATTACAGATCATACAAGCCCGTCTACAGTGTTATCTCCAGTACAACCGTCACATTCTTCGTGTATTGATATTGAAGATCAACAGTTGTTAGGTTATATGCCAAATCGTGGTGACTTTGAACGAGTTAGTTTACTTTTTTAGAATTACCTTACCTAACTTCGTTTTAGGACTATGACAATGATGCTGAAAGTATTCTTTGTCGACTGCATCCGAGTTTCTCCCATGATGATTTAGAAGATGGTATGTGGATTTGAGTAGTTGTATAGCTTATTGTCAATGTCTTCGAATAATTTTACATTGGTATTGCTTTTAATCAACTACTTATCATCACTAGATTTTTTATTTCAGGAGAAACATTTATATAAAAAGAATGATCAGTAACACCGAAAGATGTTTCTGTATAACGCACCGAAACTTTGCAATATTAGTAGAAGTCCTATTGAATTTGCGTTGTTTATTTCGTATCTCAATTCACCATATCGAATGTCACCCGAAGAATTCTACATAAAATTTCCAATGTATCTTCTTTATATGGAAACGTTATGGAGAATTCGAATTCCCTTTTCGCCTTGTTGCAGTCAACATTAACATTACCACTCCTCTTGTCAGTCCTTATAGGCTTTCTAATGATTTCGGGAAGATATTTGTTAATAAGTAGTGTATCTTTAATGTGTTTCAGTTCTTGAGTATGGAATATGAGTATGAGATTGTGATGAAATTTAAATCCATAAACTCGCTCAGAGATAAACTTTATGGGCCAAAAAATCCAGTAGAACTAGCTAAGAAAAATTACTTGTCTTTGAGGTTCCATGTGATAATTGTAAAATCAAGTATATAGGTCAAAGCAGCCGATCAGTGTCAGTTAGAATAGCAGAACAAAACAATTTAGTGGAAAATACAATGGTAGGACCTACCAATATAAGTGATTTAGAGAGAAACTAGGCTATCTCTGCATGAACTGACCCATAATCACACTATAGTCTGGAATAGGGTGACAATTCGAAAATCCAATAAAGCTAGGTGGAGAAGAGGATTGATCACAGAATCTTTGTTCATTGAATTAACACCTAACATATGTAACAGGAATAAGCCATTGCATACTGCAGATATCTTGGGAATTTTACTACCATTAAGAAGAATGAAGAACCTTTGCACTATATAAAGGAAGTTTGAAAGTCGTGTGATTACTTTGATGTGAATATGACCAATACATTCTACTCAAAATAGCATGCAGTAAATAATACTGCATCATTGGAATTATAGCTTCTTTCTTATGTTTCTTACGGTCTTCGTGGATAGCTATTCTTCTACAAATATTTCTTATCAAAGCATATGCCTTTGTCTTGTCTAATAAGCAGATTTTATGTCCTTATGTTTCTGTTTTTTCATCGGTTTTCGCCTAAAGGTTTTAGAAAAAGTTCCTTACAGTTGAGGTTATTGTTCCCTTCAAGCTTCCTTGATGCGAGCAAATTTTGGAAATAAAAGCTTTCCTTGTTATGAAGTGAGTCCAGTGTGTTTTCAGCAGACAGACGCAACAATACTAAATACCGCTGTTAAAATCATGATGTGAGGAGAAGCCAATTCAAACCAAGAGCTTTATGGTCTACTGTACATTAGTCGCCTTACAACCTACGATTCTATGAGCACCTTAAATGTTATGTGATTTTCTAGGCACTCAGTTACAGAAAATAGAATGTCTGTTGATACATATTTGGGGAGAACCAATAACCATACGAGAAGGTTGTACACGTTTGTTTTGATTCATTCTTGTGCTAAATTAATCACCACCTTGTATGTCCCTACACTCTTGTTTTTTGGTTGTGGTTAGTAGCAACTCAATATACGTGCAATGACGTACTACCAAATGAACGAAAAATAACCACAGTTACAGGACTTTAAGTTATTGTGTGTCTAATGCTCGGATGCTTTATTTTCATCGCATACAGTAAATATGTCATTAATATTCTTTTCTTAAAACGCCATCTTATCTAATGCAAGTGTTAATTAATAGATTTTAACTTGGTCGTTAGATGTAACATAGAATTGAGGTCGATTCGTTCGTACGAAAAATATAGAGGATACTCATCATACCAAGCCGTATCGGTTATAAGGTTACATAAACTCATAATACTGCTGTCAATGGTGCAGGCTGATATATTACAGTACCCACTAAGTCAGTTTTGCCAGTTTAGTTTAATTTTTTGGTTGTTAACATCACTACTTTGTCATTATTTTGTAGTGTTTCAATTGCATATCTGTGAACCAATACTCGTAACAGTTTTACTTCCTTTGGTTCCTGAAACAGCGAGTATTTTAGAAAACTAGTGCGTGCTTCTCATTTTATGATTTCTTTTGTTGAGCCGTCGGATACTGGACTTGTTAAGTAATGCAACAGATGTGAAGTTAACTTGTTTGTTTTGGGTTCGTGAAACTTTTAACTCCTGTTTGTGTGATACAAAGTAAGACGGGCAGCATAATGATAGTGAGGTAAAGTTCTCAATAAAAGAATATTTATACAACTTTTAATAAAAGGTTCTTTATATGGAATTCACTAATAACTAAGCAGTCCCCTATATTTTTCGTGTTAAGCGAATCCAAGTGTTTATTCTCATGATGCATTGCTACATAGGTAATTCCCCACTAGCATGATTAAATGGAATAGAGGTAATCATATTTACTAACTTAAATATACGAAAAAAAAACGCTTAAAGATAGCATTCAAAGATATTCTCCACATGAATATGGGGATTTAAAGTGTTACTCCTATATTAGTCTTTGAGCGTCACCATTCGACACGTAACGAAGACATTTTATGAAGGAAACTAGTATATGAAATAATTTTTTTAGTAGGCGCGTGCTTCAGTAATACGTAGAAAAAATAATATCACTTTTGCGAATGACAGGTTATTTGTTCCCGACGATCAACGTATATCCACCTTACTTGCTGACAATATCTGTAAACATATTCCAGTTTTTCTATCCGGATCAAATAACGTTAAAGAAAACAGGATTATCACCAGTTTCATCGTTGAAAACTGCATTTCATGTGGGTAAGCAGCCTCATTTAACTAACATTTGGGGGAGTATGAGAAGGCTTTAGGTTTTCATTCACGGGTTGTTTCCATAGCCTTGCAAATTTTTGGGGTAAAATCACAGTGACTAATTTTGGGGTTAAGTGTATTGTTAGATAAAAAGGTGAGCCGGTCGATGAGGTTTCAAACTCTCACTAATGAAAATGGCTTGGACACCTGTTGCACATGATGAGCGGCCGCCTACATCGACGTATCATATTAACTGAAGTAATTTTAGATTAGAAGTAAGCTGAGTGACCTGATCGAGACCTGCTACCAATCCACGGATTCTACGACTGTTGCTGTCAGTCTTGTAGGAAGGTGTAGCTTTTTGACTGAGGTCGTTGAGATGACAGGAATCCATGTTTGAAGGCTTTTGATGATCTGGGTTGAAGGCGGTCAAAATGGCACAAAACCATTCATTCTTTATCGTTCTACGAAGTTAAAACAGTGTACTAAATTTCATTAATTTACTCTCTATCTCCTGGCATGTACTAGTATTTTTCAATGCCAATCTTTTTATATCCACTTCCTTTCCGAAAACTGCGATGAAATGTAGCAGTTTTAACCGATTTAATTATGTGCTAGGTTCTATTTTGACTTATCTATCTGTCTGATAGGATTTTGAATATACACTCACATGGATCATAATCACAAACGGTGATAAGTATGTACGAGGATACTCTGCATTTCATAGTTATTGCATGACAACAATAATACTTTTATGTGTATTGTAATTTCCTCATGATTTTTCATCATTAGATTTGATTGCATTACTTCAATACCTAACAAAAAACAAATGCTTCAGCAAGGAAGCCACTCTGCAGTTACTTTATTTTCATTACTATAAAATCATTTTTACACAAATAGGAGAACACATTAACGATTTTGTTTATTCGTATGCGATATTTCCTTTTGGTTGTAGCCAGATAGACGGACAAAACGTAGCACCTGCTACGAAAGTGCATCGGTTCACGTTGCCACACTTGACGGTGGCTTTCAAAGAAAAAAATGGATAGAAAAACATTGATATCAAAGTGGACAAAGGTGTACGGGAGAAACAACTTGGATACGAAGGGTAGTGAAGATGTTAAAACTTTAGAAGACGTCGAAAAGTAAATACATCTTTGCCGCCGTGATCGATTTTCAGTCATGTCACCAAAAGTCTGCAACTATTGATTCCTGTTGTGTCTGAGACTCCAATCAGGTAGTCCACACCACTCTACATGACTCAAAACAATAGTTAAAGGCCTTATGAACTGGTGCCACATCTTGATCTGACCACCTTTAGCCCTCCCCCAATCTAATCCAGTTTCTTCTGGCATCATACATAGAGGTAGGTGGCGGCTCGGCCTGCGCAGCACATGTCCTACCTCAATCTCTGCAGGTTGAAAACATCATCGACCGACTTGTCTAGTATCTTTTGCCTGACTTCAGTATTGCTCACCTGGTTATTCCACTATGCGTGCGTGAGCATTGCTACAAAAGCATCTGCGGTTAAAAATCTGTAACCTCCACATATTTTCTTCGTCTGTGTCTCAACCGTATAAGAAGACAGATCGAACTGCAGTGCAGAATACTCCTGTAACAGGTAGTCGAATATCTCGCCGGAGATAACATGAATTGTCAGTTGTCAAACGAGCCTTCCGTATCCTAGCTGAGATTTCGTCAGCTGTCAGCTTTTTCGTGCTGATGCAACTCCTAAAGTTAAATGGCTGATACATTCCACCGCTTCATTCCATACTGTTAAATGACTTATGGTTAACACATTAAATTCTCGTATCCATCACGTTCTTTATTCCTAGGTACTTTTTTTTATATCCGACAGCTGTAATTAAATCACTTCTATTTAGTTTTTGACTGAACACAACTGGAACCGTACTTTCCTGAAGTTGATATCCTTAGAAAGAAAATTCTTTACTTAGATGTTTAATAACCATAGCAAGATGATAATCGTGCAGCACTGCCAAGGTTTTTTTTAATCGTTAGCTATTATTTCTGTCACGCCGCAATTCTCTAGTTTTTAATTTTTTCCACTCTGATTCTATTTATGAATTCCTGTATTAGGATGTAAGCCATACCTTTTATGTAACAACCAGTGATAGTAACAGCCTGAAACTCAGTATTTCGAACAGCTTGCAGACGTATGGCTAGTTAGTTAGTTACGAAGCTAATGAACTCATAGTTCCGCCAGGTTTCATGGATTTGGCGGTGTTCACGTCGTTTTTCATATTGTTTGTACTTACCCACATACACTGCATTATATTTTTACTTCTATATGATTGTTTGATATATCTGTCAGTATTGATTCAAGAAATATAACCTTCAGATGGAATTTTTGTGAATGGGCTTTTAATTTCACATCTGTTTTCACTAACGTTGAGATTAACTTTCAATTTAGTCTATCAAACGTTTTCTTTATAACCTTAGTATGGAAAAGTTGAACAAATTCTTTCTAATTATTCACTCACAGTTAATTTATTATTTCGTATATTCATTTCAGTTGTATACAACCTTTTAAAAGCTGTTATCAATGAATAGAAAGAAATGATTAGTGTTCTGCGGGAGTAAAATTCTTATAAGTTTAATTCAGTATTATAGGGTTTAGTCATGGAAGAAATAAGGAGTATGAAATGTTGAAACTAGCTTAAAATTGATCCATTTTTCAAATCATAATTGACAAGATCTCTAGAGTAGGTGAAAGAATTGTTGGGAGTTAGTATATAGCTGTAAAGAAACTGCGCAATAGAATGATTTCATCTCACTTTGTAGGATTGATTACGATGTTTATATTTATCAAGTTAACGAAAATGTATAAAATGAATCATTCAAGTACATTTACTTATGTTTGTTATATTGTGAGTAAATGGGAGAATTTATTCATTAGCTATAATATTTAAACTTACATACCTCTGTTTTCAAAATATTTTAATTATATAATGTTATATTATATTGACATGTAATTACACGAAGAAAATTCCTATGCTAGACATTCACAATCAATTGGTTCAATCTTTTTGTTTTCAATTTCTAAATGTTTCCAGCTTTGAAAGTGGCACAGGTTAATATATACATGCAGAGACTACGTGAACGTCAACGACGCAAAGAAATTGCTTGTGAACATGCTCTAATTCCACATATTTTGGCATTTATTCTAAACAAACGTATTAAAAGACGCATGGCTGTAAAAGATATCGTTAACGAAAACATACCTATGAAAGGTAGACCTCGGGGACGTCCACCATTGTCGAAGAGATTATTGTACAATAAACTTTCGAATAAAAGCACACCTGTAAAGAGAACCAACACTCATGAGTCTGTTAGCAAGGATGTGGCTAAAAAGCCTCCCCCAAATAGTTGGTTGGCTGCTCCTTTTGTTCTTCAGTCTTCTGGACCGACAAAAGGTGCACCAATTGTGATCAGTATCCCATCTAATATTTCAGGTGACAATGCACCAGATGATTATAAAAGTTTACCTCTATCCACCGCTTATAAAATGGGATCAACGAAGTTGATTGAAGATTTTAATGGATTGTAAGTTTGCGAAAGGTAATGCTGTAGTTCAGTACATTGATTTTCATTGCATGTCAACGAATAATGATTCATTTGTTAGAATTTTTTGTCACGGCGCTCCATCTTTCCTTATTGTTTCTGACAGTATGAAGAAGGGATTCAGCTGATAACCTATAGTTTTGTAGTGGTTTTCATATTAAGGCATATGTTTGTTTAGAATATATAGATAGATCCGACCTACATGATACCAACTAGTCGCGTTAGGGGTGGTCATAGTTGAAAAGTATCTCAATTTATAGAAAAATTGACTAATACATCGTCAAATTCCTCCTGAAAAAGAAAGAGCTTAAGTTCAACTGTAGGACAGTGTGCCACTAAGAAAAATACTATAATGAAAACTAAATTGAATCTGCTAGTCTTTATTTGTGAAAAATCCTGGCATATGTCGATACCATCTGTGTTGAACCATCAACATTTAGTAGAAAGTATGAATAATTATTTATGAAAGTTGGAAGTTGCAATTGAATGTCAAACGTGACAAAATTCTTAACCATCACATGAAAGCTGTGTGCACTCATAAAACAGATACTACTCATTGACGAAAATACTTTGTGCTGTGTAGAATCTGAAGCATGAAAATAATCCGTTGAAAATTATGACCATGCTAGTTGGTTGGAGGCAATCGGCAGGTAGCCCTGGATCTAAGTTCCATGCTTTTAGGCACTCGTCAGCAAGGCGTATCTAAAACCTCGAAAGAACTAATGTCTCATCTGAGATTTGAACATCTGTCACCCAGTCTTGCAGACAGCGACGCTATCACTGAGCTATTCAGCCTGACCTATAGAACTGGATTAGGTACATTGATTGATCGTAAGGATGCATAGTGTACTCCTGTGGTTGTCAGAATATTGATTACATCCAGCTTAGAAACACTATATTGAAGTTTAGGATTTTTATCAGGGTGAAATAAATCATTTTAGGAAGCAGTCAACTCATTTAGTAGGGTAATGTTTGGTGTAAATCGACAGAAAGATAATTTATATTTTAGTGATACACTTTAGATATAGGTTATATTTGTATAAATCTCAGCGTGTTTGAAATAAAATAATTCCGACATTTCGTTATATATTTCTCAGAGAAATGATCGAATATATATAAATTGAGTCAAAATCATTTACTTCATATCTCTGTATAATCCTGTTGGTATAATACTTGTTTTTAAAATATGACTATTATCATTCTGTGTGAAGTTGTATCTTGTTATGTAGTGTGTGGTTATTCATGATCCTATATTTCAGTTAACTGTAATTAAACCGTAGTCAACATTAATATAACCGTTGTTTAAAAAAAATCCAATCGGATTAGATTCCATCTACTCATCATTCGGACCATCTTGACTATAATTTGTTTATGCTTTACACTGGTTACTGTGTATCCGTGAACGTACAACAATGAAGCTTCAGGAAAATTTATTGAAAACAAATTCGCTCAAATCATTGTTATTTTGACTATCTAATAGGAATCTTCAAATTAAATCCTCCTTCATTGAAAATGCAAGGCAAAAACGACCTAGGTAACATCGTAGTCATCACGTAGTTGTATGTGCATTTACTGTAGAGCATATGAGACAGATATGTATATCATTTCTGTCGGTGCGTAAGAATAGATTGGTATTAACATTTTTTCCCACTCTATTGTTTGATAAAGGAAATGAATAGGTATAGTAAAAATAATAATAACAACAGCATACCAAATTAATCAAGAATTTGTTGTGTTTGATGCAAAGATAATTAAGATGAGACTGGTAATGAAAGTGAATGTATGAGTCATGCTTTCTACATGTTAATTAGTAGTAGCCAAGACTCAGCTATCTATGCTGCATTTCATCTGTTCAAACCATCTGAAATCACTCATATATTGTAGGGCTTCATCAGGCACTGTTTATCGGTTTAACCCAAAAACCTTCTTTTAGAACCCCTGACTCCATCAAAATCAACTTTGTCTCATTTCTTTTGAGCGCAAGGCAATCGATTGGTTTTCGCATTTACTGTCATAAATGCGCTCAATATAATGCAGCTTATGTAGGGGAGACATTCGGGCAGCTTAATCTAAGGAGAAGGAAAGTATAGACTATGCCTAAAATAGATTCATTAAACCTCAGGAAATGTTAAAAAGTTAGAAAACGAAGCGGCAGTTGCACATCACTTGATAGAAACGGAACACAAATTCGATTCTGACGGAACCTAGGTTCTACAAATTAGCTTTCTGTCAAACCAAGATTTATTGCTAAAATCTTGCATAAAGGAGTAAGTTGAACTAGTTCAAACAGATAAGATGCAGTACAGTTAGATACCCCTCGGCAATTAGTAACTAAGATGTAGAAAGGATGACTTTTGAAGATACGAATAAAACCAATGTCTATGTCAATTTCCGAACTGGCACCCAGTATTTGTGGTACTTTTTGATCAGGTCTTAATCATACTTCGTTAAAGATGTAGTGATGTAGTCCTAATTGCAGATGGAAATTTAGAGACAGCTTCTATTATTCGTGTTGCAGTATAAGGTAAAACTTATGTTACTGCTACATCTGGCCTCTGCGTACAGTTTTCAGGTTTTTATAACGAATCATCGACGTTTTGTACTTTGGAGACATTGTCCCTTACCGAATTAGTGTCAAGTAAAAAGCATCAAAATTTTTTTTTTAATGAAACAATTTTTTCCTTTTGGTAGGAAAAGACTTCACCTTCTTCCCCAGCTGTGGACGATATCAGGTCTATTACTCTTAGATTCTGGCACAATCGCGCTGTCGATTTACAATGTCAAACGTTTACATTTTACAACTTGATATATCATAACATAGCATGATCATAACTAGATACTACTAATGTTTATTCTCCTTCAGTTCCAACCAAGTTGACTTCGTGTGTTACAACTTACTTCGGCGAAACGTCTACTCCAAAGCCGATTACTAACTTGGATTTCGCCACTATTTATGATGCGGTAGTGGTTAATCTGATGGCAGTTTTCCTCAAAAACTGATTGGAGAGCATTTGGAAACTAGGTACCTTAAGGAAAGTTCTAATTCTGAAGCAAACAGAACATTCGGATACCTCATTTAGACCGGATGTTTGTTTGGATTGACTGATGGTCTAGCGAAGAAGTAGTGCGTCAGCTCCATTTTATATCAGTATGCACTGAGTTTCATAAGTAGTATTATTAATAGCTAAATATGTATCGATTACTTTGGTTTTGAGTCATAACACTTGAAACTTCTAAACATCATGGGGATATAGTTTATTTCATCAACTCCCAAGCATTTGGTAACGGATTCAAACCCAGCTACACTTGTCTCAATCATGGTGATATCATAAACCTCTCGTTCAATGAATGTAGCTAACAGTAGTACACTAACTTGTAGCAGTTTGTTGAGCTGTTTATATTTTATGCATCAGTTGCTTATGCCATATAGAATGTGTCCGTTAGGTAGACGGTTTTGTGGTACTGTGATAGTGACTTCGTTTATTGCCATCAGCTTCTAACTTGATCAATTTAATCGTTTATATTCAGCTTACTTTTACTCCGATCAACATCTCATTAAGTTTTACAGTTAAACATGGTTTATGTGGTATGAGAGTACTCGGATCTCAGTTAGATAGTCACTAGAAATGGACTCACAAGAGATTCAGTACTCAGTATATCTTTTCGAATACAGAGTGAACAATTTTATGTCTATATTCTAAGCAATCGAAACATTTCAAATGATAATTAAGTGGAATTTCTAATCGGTACTTTTGATTCATGTAGATGTACATAATTGAAGTTTATTTTCATTGGGTTTCAATACTTATTAATGAAAAACAAATATTATTTCTTTCTCTCTAGTTATCTGAATGAAAAATTAAAGCCATTCCTAAGATATTTCACTGGCATTCAAGGAAAACATTTTATGGAAAATCTGCATAGTAAGTATACCGTTTCCAAAAAACAAAATTGAATAACTTAACTGTTGTTTTTCTGTCATGTGTAGAAGAAGAAGTGATTAAACATGAAATAAAATATCTACTTGATTTACGAACCAAAGGAAGAACGCAATTTATAAGTAAGTTATTTTCTTTTCATTCATACTTTGATGATTGATATTATTGTGCTCACCGACAGTTACTAATGTATGTGTTCAATTTGAACGTCTTTCAGTGACGTTGTTACCGTGTTGTGTACGAAACTACTGATTAACTTTCGATCAAGTGGACTTAGAAACAGATGACCAGATAGGTTTCTCCCTCGTGATAATGAACTTATCGACGTGCTACACTCGAGTACTCGAAATAACCTGGCTATGTACATGTGAGTAGACACTTGGACAATAACGTTCAGATTTTACCCTTGATGGTGGCTCAATTCCTTGGCAAATAGAAAAGACAGTAAGATAGCATATGTATTATGATGTCGAACGATATATTAGCTGCAACGGCTTATATGTGTTGATAATTATCTTGGCTATTTTCAGGCTTTTCTAAAAGCACATTCCCTATTATTTCTACCTCATCAATCAATCTGATACTTACACATATAATCACGTATCTTTCCTCGAAACTGCGAGACAGTATGATTGGTTGTGAAGGGCTCCAGGGATTTAGGACTTCTTACAAAGATCTGGGCAATCTTATTGCGCACTCCACAGCAATAGTTAAATCACATTTTTGAATATAACAATTTTCCGAAAATTTCACCCAAAAATGTCAAGAATTCAAATAATTTCTATCATATCGTTGTTAATTTAAATTTTGATGAAATTCCAAGTCACCCGGTAAACTGCCTTCATAAGTGGCTAACTTTGAAACGACTCATGTTATTGGTATTGATAAACTAAGTACTCTGTCGAAGAAAAGCGAACATGGATAATAATCTCCAGAAGCTGAAAGATGTAATTCACGTGGCTGTAGTCAAAATTGGTGAAAAATATCTGCCACTGACATTAAGGGATGTTTACAGTTTTCAGTGATTCTTTAGATATCTATTTCATTATATTCTCACCTTTGAATTTCAACTCATCTCCATAGCAATAACTTACTCAGCAGTGTACTTGAATTCGTAAAAAGAAGTTAAAAACATGCACCATTGAAGAGTAACAATCTATAATGAAGTGACTGTTTGTTGGTATCTGCATTTTCGGTTGTCATCACTTCATAAAGAAGACCATACTTAATTTAAGCTGACACAGTTCAACATATTTTTATTTCACTTGGGTTTTTGGCGATATAAAGAAATTGATTGATAGAATTAGGTCCATTTATAGGGATTGATAGCTACATTGGTTACCATCCAGTACGTATTAAATTTCTATGCGTATGTCATGGTCTGTTAAAGTTTCTGATATCATCACCGTTTAATTAAAAGTCCAATCTGAAAGGAAAAGTGGCTTTAAATTCTCAGATATGCATTACTAATAAAGTTTGAGCAGGGCTTTTCTGAAATGGACTCTTCTCTGGTTCTGATTTCCAAAATCACTAAACTTTATTATTGACTTAGTTGTGGCTAGCACTGGAATCCAGGATGTGCATTTCGTCCTATCTGCGACTCGTCAGCTTGATGTGCCTGAGTGATCTTGTTCCCTCTGGGACTCGAACTTTGTACACATCGCTTTAAACGCATCCTGGATGCCACTACCAGCCACAACCAAGTCAGTTATAACAGTAAACATTCAGAGTGTATCCAGGCATCCACATAGAAGCTCATATTGCCATAGGAGTCGAGCAATTCGGTCCAGGATAACAACGTAGAATTACAGGTATGTCAGAAAAAAAAATACTATTCACTTATTCTTAGGTTAGAAAATACTTTTTACTGAATACTCTTCACTAACTGTATAGTCTTTTTTAGGTATGAAAATCAGATTCCCACCTTTTAAAAGTTCTATATACCATCACCATCTCAGGGAAAAGAGTACTCATGGTCAAGAGATAGTACAAGCACAACAACAGCAACAACCACGTCAGTTACATCAAGTGAAGAAAAGACGTAAACATACAAACACACCATGGTATATGAAAGTTCAACGTAGAGTTAGACAGCATAAATAACTTCCAGATTTGTAATGATTATCATTTCTCTTATCTCTAATTTGACTATCATCCATATTATATATATATATACAAACTCAGAGAAGATTCAATAATCAATGTTTGTTTTAAATTTCTGAAAACAGATCTTTTGCATTTAGAATTCTATTATTGTTTTATATTTACCATCTAAAAAATGTATACCTTATTTTTACTGTATTGCTATCACATTGTTATTGTTATTACTATTACTCATGATATTTTCGTTCTTACAATATTTTTTAAATATAAAGTAGAACCACAAAATGAAGATGTTTACTGTTTCACATTGAATTTTAATCAGTCGACTCTGTTAATAACGAGAATTATTATGATTATTGTTATTATAAATTTTTATATGCAGTGTAAAAAGTATACTTTTATTTCTGTGACTGATAGTTGATATCGTCATATTCTGCGTAGCAGAAAAAACCATTCTCGTCAGGAAACAATGTATTGACAATTTAAAGGCATATTATATAAGTTCGTCACGATGGTTAATGCTATGCTACATAACTGGAAATCAATTGCAGTGATGAAGTTGTATTTATCGTCTGACTTCAACATAATCATAAGTATATTATCCATTCTGTATCTATTGCTGCACTTATTTGCCGTCTTGTAGTTTATTTCAATGTTAACATATTCTGTTGATAATTTACCGAAATTCAAAAGAAAACAATAAACTCATCGTGTTTTATGACCTCATAGCTATGGAATGAGTTTAGGTTAGGATGTGACTAGATAGTGTAAACATCCAACTTCCAAATAGTAAATTTCATCTTTAAATCCAGCTCCACCTACTTCGGCTCTGGTAATTGGATGTTAACATAAGCCTTCATAGATGTAGAATTCATCATGACCTAGTACATAAACTTGTAACGGAGTGTTGAGTTGTATTAGCATGGTTTTTACTATGAAATAAAATAATGTACTTTGCGAAAAGAAAGGATGATATAGTGAACAAAGTATGCTAATGAATGATACTATTACATATAGTAATGATGGAGTTCCACATGGATCTGCTTCATTTATTTGTGACAACTCGGATGGGACATACTACAGTTCGAGCAAGGAATGGTTTACTTAGCTGTTCAAAATTATAACAGGATAGATGGACATACTTTGGTGCAAGGCTTATCACCACTATTAATCTCTATTCAAGAAGAAAACTATAGTGAGACAAAAGTATAGATGTTTTGGAAAATTCAGATTTTATTGAACATCTTATACCATTTCTGTTGTTCCCCATGAATATGATCTTTTCAGGTATTAAACTATACTTTATTTGCACTCTAAAGTTCATGTCTGAGTAATCAGAGTCATCAATACTCTAACCATTCATGTAACTTTACGCCTTCACTTAAGGCTATCTGTATTTGATATTTTTCAAACGTTTGACTATTGAATTCTAAACGCGTACAATAGAGTTACGGAGATTTGTAGTTCAGACTGAGGTAGTATCTTTGTAGTTTTTATATTTAACTTTAGACTTTTTTTAGTTGCTTTTGTCGACATCATGAGTACTAACTTCAGGAAGAAATCAGGCTTGTTCTATAAGCTGACATGAATGTTCAATTAGAGCTTTGCCAACCTGAATTTTGGACAGTACATTTCATAGTGGTTGGATGTTCTTTGAACGTAGAGAAAATAATAATAATTTTTTTTATTATTTAAATATTCAATTTCATTAGGTCACCACACAAGATTATGCAATTCCTTACTGTTCACATGTATAAAAGTTGATCTAGCGTATAAATTTTGAACTTTTCACAGACTGTACATCGATTCTATATAAAAGTGTTTCTTGCTCATCGTTTCATTTGAATGCTGAACTTCTAGGAACTTTATTACAACTTTCGAACTTTCACGTTGTGATCATGGCTGTCTACGTGCAGTAAAGGCAAGGATGATGCATAGTGTCGCTTTACAGAAAGTTATTGCTCCCAAACTCTGAGGAACTCAGCGGCTAGACTTGCTAGTGTGGTGCTGCAGATATTCTTCGCATTTTGATTTTTTAGTTAGGAAAGTGACATTTTATTGTCCTTGTACTTGGTATAAATTTTAACCGTTTCGTTTATTGACATACTCCTTAAAGCCTGTGTAGATCATCAAAGGTATTAATTAAACTACTGTTACCTTCTTATGAACACACGCTGAAATTCTATGTACTGTTGTATATACTGCTCACAGTGAAGTATAGCATACCTCTTGCATTTTACTTGAAAGTGAATAGATGACTTCACGTGCATCTCACTGTTTCAGAGTTCGTTTTTAAACCTTTTTGAGTCAGTCGATAAGGTAGTGAACCTCCACCCACTGAGCAGTCATGAACATTAGTTGGGTATGCCGAGGCACCGCCTCCCTTGATGTGCGATTTGAAACGAAATAGGATTGTGTCGGAAGAAGGCTAAGGGTGGCCAGATCGCAACCTAACTCCAGTTCGTATAGTCTTTGACTGTTGGTCTGAACCGTGTAAGGAGACGGTAACTCTGGTCCTCAAATAATAGGAATCAGTTATTGAGGACTATTGATAACACCTGGAAATCAGTTACAGTGGCGTAGATATATTCAAACTTTGACATCTTCGAAGGTTTGAGCATCTTCACTGTGAATTTCTTTCCTACAAATTCGGAACCAAAATGGTTCTCTAACAATAAACCAAACGTTCGAGTTACGTGTGAAAACGGGAACATGATATTTGTCTGAAATACAGTTCCTTACGAATAAACAGTAGTGAATAATAAATTAAAAACCTCGAATCGTGAGGTATCTGAGGGTTTATCGCTGTCAAAACGCCTCACAGAGACTGTGTAAATAGCACGACAGCAAGGCTATGTCCAAGTTAAACTTAAAAAGGCAACACGAAGGACGCGCGTTTGTTCCCACGATGAAGTAAAGGAATGAGATAAACAAACGCTCAAGTTAACACAGAACATTAGGGGCCAACGAAAGGGCTTCCAACACTAAAATGAACGGGTAAAGGAAATAATATTTAGAGATGTTAACTAATGAATAAGGTTTGACTGAACAGAGTTAACAGTCAAGTGGAGAATGCAGTAACACTAAAAGAAAATATGAATGAATTATGCTACTTAATAACACTAAGTAGTATGGAACTAAAGATATACAAAGTCAACATTATATGGGGTATGCGAGAAAAAGGCTGGAAAGGAACTAACATTCACTTTTTAAACTCCTTCTCCCTCAATACATTTTGTTCATTTTAGTATCACTCCTTTCCTATTAATAATTATAAATATAATAGCTTTATTTTAGACAACTTGTGTGATACAGTGCGGAATTCTCAGCATTTAATATTTCAACAAACCAAGCCCATCCACCTGAACTACAAATATTTCTACAAGCTCATTCCCTATACAATATTTTGAAACAAAATAATTACTGTACATTACATTTCGGTTTTCACTGGTGAGAGATTAGAGAATGGTAGTGTATTTAGCCAGTACGAAATCTGCAATGCAACAAAGGTATCCTAGGAATAACAATGTGCTGCATTTTTGTCCAAATCCACTTCTTACCGGGGTAACATTTTTCCTTTGTTTTGTTGTTGACTTGAAAAGATTGTTTGAGAGTAATTTAAAAACGTGAGAGAATACATAGCACGTTTAGAAGACATAGTTAGAAGATTTGAAAAGTTGAAAGGGGAGAATTCGATAAAATATATTCGATGGAAAATTTTTGGTAGACCACTGTTTAAGTAGACCGCCACTTGTTTTGTATATGCTGCTGTGAAGTGCAACATCTCGAACCGATACACTTCTGTATGAAGCTCCACGATGATTTGCCTGTTTCTCTTAAAGCATCAACCGTTATTCACTGTGCCGCTAAGTTGCAGTAACTCGATTCTAATCAACGCTTATAATGCTACGACGAAGACAAAAATGAATAATTGGAACATCTTGAACAACGAGCCGATTTATCACAGGAACCAAATCACTTCAATCAGTCAACGAAATTCATGCTTCAACAAAGATTCATCAGAATTAGTGAGCTTAAAGTTTTAGTAAAGGTCATCGATTCGAGTTTATAACACAAGTTACAGGGTTGAAAGGCTGTATAAAACCTTTTGAAATTTATACGAATGGGACCATTTTCACTCATCCATCATTGGGTGCTGTGGGAATTACTATGCATGAGGATTTTATCGATTCATAAGAAGTGATATAGAAGAACTATGATGGTCTGGCTACTATGGTGAAATCTAAAAATCTTGATAAAATTGAAAGCTAACATGTGAACAAGTTTCTCCAGAGATTTTCAGCAAATACCACTTGCTAGGTTCAAAGTAATTTTGTCTTATTCACACTATTCTTCCACTCACTATCTATCTGAAATGACTTAAGCTTTCCCATGTTGATATTACGGTCGGTTACGCTAACCTTTTCAGTTACTATTCTCAATAAAACAAGGCACGCTTGAGGTTTCTTAATGCATGTGCATTTTCTAACTCTTAAACTATATTTGCTGGTTTAAAATGTCACCAAATATGAATTTTATATTCTTAATAAAAATGATATTGTGTAGTGATTAACCTTATGTTAAAAAACCTAACGAAGACTGAGGATCTAATCAGCGCACTCGTGTTTACGCCTGAAGCCATTCTGGTTTTCCGAAGTTATTTTTCTAGCTATAGTTAGGGGTTGGATGATCCTAAGACCTTAGACAGGTTGTTGGTCAAGGTGATTTCTCTTTGCTTGTCAAAAGATTTCTCTTCTATCATGTAAACTAGAATAGTAAGCTATCTAGACCAGTCTGAAGAGACTAACTCTGATTTTCATACACTACTTAGTACGTGTGGTACTGTACTCAGTAATTTCGTACATCCTTAAAATTATACGGTGGCAAACCGTAAAGTCCTACTGCTTCACATTTTTTCAGGTATAAAACAGCTTCAACTGGGAGGACAAACATTTACGCCTCATTCATTTTCAGGGTGAATGTTAGCCAACTGAAACGGCTAAGAACCAGTTAGATAACTCTGTAGTGTTCCGCTCGGATTTCCTAAGAGATTGTCATAGATTCATCCTTTTCAGTGATGGTCTCGTTAGAATCATCTTTTTGTCAGTTCCCTTAACAAGCCATAATAATCACCAGTATGATCTAATGTTGATTGACTCCTTGTTCATCTCGTTAGCTTTCACTGACCACTTTTCGCGACTCTGGATCGCCTAAGCTGCATTCGTTCATCACTGTGATCAGGTGCGACTGGAATGAATCTTCTGGAACCAATAAAGCTGCGGAAATGCACTGAACTTTACTAACCTTTGTATTTAGACTGTCAAATATCTTAATCGCTTTTCCAATGACACACTAAATATTTGACCAGGCTTCATGAAGAATGGAATCGCTGGCATGTTCAGATAAGTTTTCAGCTACATTCTACCCAGAGAAACACTTGACGTTCTCATCCTCCATTTGAGTACTATTGTCTCTTTCTTACGCCCATTTGGGCGCAAACTTAAACGTACTAACTCTTTGGAGTCCAAGCGCATACTCGAGAAAAAAACACTAGATTTGTTAAATGAGGTCGCATGCGTGTTTCACAAAGTCCACACGCCCATGGTCCAAAATTTTCAGGGTTTTGGGAAATGATGATTGTCCGATCTGGTGGTTTGGGGACTCGAAACCTTCGATGAGAAACAAGTAGCATGGTGGTACCACGTTTTAATCCGTCAGACGTTTATCCTTTATTGCATTTCGAACATTCTCAAATGCTTACTCTCCATGATCAGAAAACTGTATATTGTCAACGTCTACGCCTAACAGAGCTTCGTCATCAGCGTAATTTAAATCTACTAGGAAGTGATAATTACGTGTTCTCCAAACTTTGAGATTTGTTTTTCGACGTCTCATCACTGGGTTAAGAGACTTTATCAATACTTTTATCATAAAAAAGTCAAGCATTTTCAAGTCCCGTGGGTTTTTATGAAGGGTTTTCTGCGACCTTGGGCGTCATTGGTTTGTGGGTAAAGGTGAACTAGCCTTCTTTTTTTATCAGAACTTATCCTTTATAATTTTTGCAAAGCAAGAACAACAAACATTGTAGGATGAATCAAATTCATTTCGTGCGCTCCAAATCTTCCATGCAGTCCTTTAATTTAAAATTGGGTACAGTAAGCTGTCAGCACCCAGCATAAATCATTTGATACATTTCAATGGTAAAATCAATACCAAATAAATCTTCAACTTATAAACATCAAAATATGCGACCTAATCAGCCAATACACGTGACAAATAAAATTCGCTTATTTTTGGATGACTCATGAGGCTATAAAAGCGACTAGTGAGCACAAAGAAAATAATGCTAAGTAATATTAGTGCAACAGTATTGGATGGTAGGAAATCTGGTGAAGGGTGGAGAACAACAAGATGTGCAAAATGCATGAATTGATGGTAGGACAATGGAAAAGCATATGACAAAAAACATGAACAAAATATAATGATTTAAAGTGGGTTGAAAATGATGGGAATAAAAATAACCTTTGAGAATAATATGTAAGGAACTAAGATGAAAGAAGAGAAGAACAATGAAAGGAGAAGAACAATTCATCCGAAAATGTAAAGTAAGCTGCAAATTATTGTCATCGTTTGAATTCATGTTTGATTTTAGTTTGGAATTCATCATGGACTGATATCAGTTGAAGGAACTTAGGAAACCTGGAAGCACTGGATAACTGTTTCGTCCTAGTATGGGAGTTCTCAGCAGTGTGCACCCTCAACCTCGCCAGGGATCGAACCCAAGGCCATCAGGTCCTGTGGTCAGCACGTTACCATTGAGCCACTGGGTGGGAATTCAATGATCCATATTTCCTATTTCTGTCTGATTATTGATTTGCTTGATTGATTTCTAGCTGATCGATCCTGTTAGCAGTTCGTGGGTCAATGTCCACGTGTCTATCGATTACCACTCGATTGAAGTATCAAGCTTCCACGAATTCCCTTGCTGTTTTTGAGCTTTCTTGTTGCGGTATTTCAACTTTGTCCCAACACAATGATGTTAAAAAATTTTGAGACTAATTTCGCTCACGCTATAACAATCTTTTCTTTGGATAACGGATCCTCAAGCTAGCGTAACATGCTTTGTATGGTTCTGGATGGTTTGCATGCCCCACGAATAATAAAGTAACCGGTTGAGAGCTTCAGAGACATCTGCGGTATATGGTAGAGTCATTTGTTTCTTAGCATTAGGTAGTTTTTCAGATATGCATTCTGTAGACAAGCTATTGCGAAGAGGCTGAGTGGATAGTCATTCATTTCGAACAACCTGTAAACTGATAAAGTTCGGCCTGAACGTGAATCAATATACTAAATGATCAGCTACTAATGTAGAAGTTTTCGTATTTCAATTTTCGTTTCATGTTATTTTGTCATCAGGAAAAACTTTATGGAACAATTAATCCTACAGTTGACCATTCAGAATACTTCAGATACTTTGCTTTCGATCTAGTGGTTTAATATGTTTATGAAAACTGCATATAAATGATGTATTTTGTCAAATGGAGTGTCTTCCTTACAGTACCAGGCCGATCTCTGCCTTCTGACTTTCACGATTCGGTGAAGTATAAAGTTCTCAGGGAGAATAGTAGCTGCTTTTATCCACTTCATGTGTTTCATTGTGTTAATTTCATTCGAGTATTTATTATTATTCACTCGGTCACTTCAAGTGGCGACAGGTACTGGCTTTCATTTCACCATGTCTGTTTCACTGGATGATCTCAAATCCATTTTAGAACTTTGCGTTAGTCCGTTTGACCCTGCTGTTCTTTTTCCTTTCAGGTTACCTACAGCTTTCTCAACTTCTGTAAATGCTGCAGGCCTTATCTTGCTGGTTTAATTGTAAGAAAGGTTTTGATAGTCAGAAATAAATGTTGTAACATTCTACTAAGACTATGATTATTCATACGACTTGTGTAAACACTATAGTTTCGGAGGGGCAAAACAACTGACATTATTGGTCACACAAATAAGGCAATACCGATAACAGTCAGTTCCACTGGTTCAGATGCATCAATAATTTATCCTACCATAATTCTAGTACGAACTGTTTTACTTTCATCGCCTAGAAGTTTTCTTACATGCGGTGATACCATCATTCGCACTTATTTGTCTTCCCTCATTCATTTTTATTCCACTTCACTCTGTAAGGTAACTCGAACCAAGAGGCTTGCGTTCAGGTCACTCTAGTGGGAAGCGATTTTCAGGAAGCATTGGATTTAAGTTCCGTACTTGATTATACTCATCAATATGGCGTCTCTTAAACAAAATGAAGACAGATGTTCTTTCGCAGAATGGGACTCATAACACATTTATTAGCACTACCAAAAAGCTGTTAACAACACAGATGACTTCATGCAGAATGGATTAGTTGCACTGATCAATCACCAACAGAAATTGAAAACTGATTCATATGATTCTATTTACATTCATGATGATTAGTTGTTTTTATCAACTTGCAAATAGATGAAAGGATGAGTGAATTTCAAGACGACACTCAGCAATAATGTATCTGATCAAAAAATTCTCAGTCCTCGTTTGTCATTGCCAACTCTAATTTTTCATCTTACCTGATGACATCATCTACTGACTGAACCTTTGCAGATTTTATGAAATAATCAGTCTAAAAACAGAGTTCAGTTTTGGCATAATCCTCAAGTTTGTCTCTTGATTACAACTAACCTTGTTCTACGGTTTCATCCAAATATTTTTTACTACCTATCGACTGTTGATTGAATTTTACCGATTGTTGCAAACAGCTGATAACAAACTGAAGAAATAAAACGGATCCAGTTTATACTGCTCAAATTGTTGTTCTTCCGTTTTCAAGTTCAGACATCGGTTCTGTGCTGAAAGCAAAAAAGGTATAGATTCCATGACAGTAATCAATAAAATCACTTGCCACCAGTATAGTTAATGTAAATTCCACATATTATGCCGACTAATGACTGGGAACTGGTGCAAATATCGAGAACCTAAAGACAGTTTGCAAGGTTTATTAGAGTGAGATATCTATAATTCTACACAGTGAAGAGTGGAAATAATGACAACATGAAAGCAGAAGCAACCATTCACATTCAACGTAAACAGGATAACCTACTAAGCCAATTACGAAGGATTTCCCATAGCTTACTTCTTAATTCTGTGTTGGTGTTACCTAGAATGACGACGACTGAACTACTCAGTTAAGAGAACACAAAAGCAAAGAGTTGTCCGAAACCGTCATAAACCTGTGACAACCACCATACCACACAACAATCAATTGTCGATGAGAAAAAACTACTAGATACCCAGTGATTTTCAAAAGCTGGCAAATTAATACTTAAATATTATCAAGTTCAACAAGTTTTCTTGATCAAGGTTTCGATGAAAAAAGCAAAAACGCCAAAAAATCGTGTATACACACTGATTTGTATTTCAGTAGCAGAAATAATAATGAGATCGACAAAATTAATATATCACTGGTTTTCTTTCAATTTCATAGCCAATTTAGCCATATGAATGACACCATCACGAGTTTTATGAATCCCTAGGAATCCAGTGGCATGTACAAATACACAATCTGGAATACCAACAACTGCGCTCAATTCTTCATCTCGTAAACCTCTCCATCTCTCTGGTAAAGGAAGCCTGAATAATGTAGATTTAATAAAGTTAATCATTTGAACAAAAAATGAAACCAACCTACCTTTGAGAAAACGTGTTACTTTCATTCAACGGTATAGCTTGTATACCCCATGTACTATCTTTACGTTCATATATAACATACAACATTGTACTATCATGATTACTATCCTGCTGTCGACCACTTTTTAATATCATAGATTTTTCAATATCAAACAAGTGTGCAATCCATGGACATCCTGTACCCTCGATGTAAACGATTGCTCCAGATGAATCTACCATATGTCTAGATTTCACAGCATTCAAAACAATTTCACGAGCAGGGTACCAGGTATCAGCATAAAAGTGAACTAAAGTAACAAATTCATTATCCACTAATTGTAGAGCGTTTTGAAAACCAATCTAAAATTTATTTGAATAATAGATGATACTTAAGTCAGTATAGTTAAATTTACTTCATGTTATTTTAAAATATCATGTTGATGAAAAAACTCATTTCTAAAAACACTTCCACAGACTAGCTAGGCTGTACTGGTTATGCATGTTGTGATTTGAAGTTAATTGTATAAGGTGATCCATCTGAAAAAATTCCCTAGTGCTAAGAAGTTGATGAAAAAGTTCTTTGATCAGTAACTTAAAAGAATTGCTTGCACACTAAGAGTTGCATCCAAATGGTTTTTATGACTGAAAATGATGGAGAAAGTTCGCTCATGCGTTCTTTGAGCTAAATGCTTTAATTGTATGGCTTGCACTGTGTCATTCTTGACAAAAATATGGAGTGCATCTATACGACTTCCAAGTGACAAATTCATCCATCTTGATGACACTAACTGTCACCAGTTGTTTCCAGATACCTCCTTGATATAATATTCCTCTACATTCTTGGATAATATGCGTAAAGTTGAATTGATAAATGGTATCCTTCCATAAGAAAGGTAGTCGGTAGGTGGAATTACATCACTAAAAAAATGCTAAAATCGTTAGTTATGCAATGCTTGACCAGAAATTGATTATTTCAATACTTGGAGAGTGATACATATAGCCAAAATTCCCATAAGGAAAACAATGTACTGTACACAGTCGAAGTTAATCAGGATGACCATGTCGTAGTGTCTGTTTAACAAGCAATGATTACTACTATAGTGATTACCGTCTGGAGATTAATTTACTCACTTGATTAAATAAACAACCCTAAACATCAGCAGTCACAACTCTGACTCTAATAATTAGCAACAAAGGCTTGCAAGTTGAAGTAAATACACACTATTGAAAACAGAAATTAAACAATAGTTATATTAAGAGACTATCAGTTCAGGAGAATGAATGGCAGTAAAAAAGGTAATGGATATACTTTTATGAATTTCAAATCAAGGAAAAAGTCAAGAAACTCACCTTCTCATCAACATCTGATTGATTCCATGCGGGATTTAGACGATTAACACGACTGCTTAAGGAAGTGTTGATAGAATATCTGAGTGGAAAAAGTGGAATTGATTAGTACCTCAATATGTAAGAGATACTCATTTTAGAAAACAAAAACATTATAACAAATACCTTAAGGGTGATTCAGACATTTGGACACCATTGTCAATTGCATCGATTTCAACAATGAATGAATTGTATAACTGAAAAAAAGGAAAAGAACACTGCTGTTATTTCTGTTAAGGTAAGAAGAGAAATAGAAAAAGTACACCATCATACCTTATCAAAAAGTGCAGTCACCAATGGATCCACTTCATCCTCTTTACCAAGTATATGACTGAGTATTTTTCTACCGAAATGAACGTATATCAAACCAGCACTACTGAGTTTAATGTCCCAATCAGATTCAGGGAAGAAATCTTTATAGGTAAGATTGAATTCTCTGTAATATAGAGAAAATTAGTAAATTTGAATCATGAATGTCAGTTTCCTACTGACCTTTGATGATGGTCATACAGATTATTCTCAGCATTGAATACACCGCCACAATCGACAACTATATCACAGGTTGATAAGATACTTGAGTCTCGTGTGCGTATAATTTCAGCATTAGAATATTCTGGAAGGTGTTTAAGCATTGCACAGGCTAACACCTCATCAACATGAAAACGTCCGTCATGCGTACCAATCAAAACTCTTGAATTAGTTACCATTGATATCAAACAAATATTACTACCTATCAACAGTAGAGAAAAAAAATCACGATTAATCTACCGGATAGAAATAAATGAATAGAATATGACAGATAACCATGAATAAAATTTTTTTTGTTGGATTTGGCACACGTAGATGGTTTTACAGATACAGTCCATATTAAAGTCGTATGAATAGCTCGATATGACCATGGGTTATAAACAGAGTCCCATTCGTCTAGCATCGCTATATTAGTGAGTGTAGTATCAAATGCAAAATTACGTTTTGCAGCTGTGCCTATATTCATTTCCTATATCTAGGATAAAAGCAGTTAGTAGACAGATCTTCATATATTGACTAGAAACTAAGAGGTCCTTTCTTCGAATACTGCAACATCTCAAGGTCTTTTCCTTTCATTTTAATCGTAATTTTCAGGTAGAAATAAAGGATAAGTACAATGTAGTGTTAAGTAGAGGTAAAATTTAGCATTTAGAACATATGATCATTCTACTCTCAAATGTTTCAAATACATCCTAGTTTCATTAGAATTCCAAATAGGAATCATTACACAAGAGCGATTTGAGTTGACTTCTAAACCGAATAAATCTCTACAAAACTTAAAAATAGACTATAACCATCCGAACAGTATACAGAGTTATGAACAGAGTGGTTACGGAATTCCAGCCTGAATACCTAAGTGCTTCTATCTGCAATTTTCCCAGCTGATAAGTTAATTAGAAGGGTTTTACTATCTGCTGATACAACTACAAATAACTTTAAGAATGAGAATATCAATTTATCGGCTCAAACGATCTACTCCAAAAACTTTTAAGAGTACATTTAAAATAATAGTATCAGCGCTAACCAGTTGGAAGTGATCAGCAGGAAGATAGAGACATAAATCTGCTGCATTCTGACATCCGTCAGGTGAGTGTAACATCTATGACTGAAGCACTGAGTGATGTAGATCCGGGTCATGAAAAGACACTATTGTCTTGCTGGTGAGTAAAGCAAGTACGAGATTAAAATTCAATACTGTATGCCGATTGTTTTCATTTAATCAGCAACAACGTGGGAACTAGAATTACCTAAGTAACGCTCTAAGGTGTTACATGTCATATGAGCGCAGCAAGCAAAAATCAACTAAGGTGAAATATACAGAAATAAGGAAGAAACCAATCAAAAGCGATAGCAACTCGTCAAAAGAAAGGAAGCAGTAACGAGACAATACTGAAATTTAGTGCGACGATTCAGATGACGATAATGAATATGTGCACATATTTGCGCAACTTATATTGATTGATTACCTGATATATCATATCTTCAGAGTCACCAATCATCAATTTCACTTGTCATGTGGATCTCAAACGTGAAGTCTACATATACGTACACGTCTGAGACCACCAAAGACTTCATACACAGATGTCATGTTTTAATCTGTTTCGATTCATTTCCAACGTAAACCTACTTCAGCTGACAAAGCGAAGCGAGGTAAACGGCGATAAGGCATGAGTAACACACATGCCAGCCAGATGAGTCGATGAGGCTTCACAACCTCGTCAAGTGAATTTTCTCTTCTCAAAAAACTACGCCTGACTGTAACGTTACTAGTGTGGCGACATCCGAAAACACGGCTTATGTTACATAAGCGACTGTGACCAAACATCAGTCAAATTGCATCAGAAGGCTGTCTCTTACCATAATAATGCCTCTTGATATCCGGTTATTTTAAGTACGTAGGTTTTCTGTCGGGGGCTAAGAAAATGCTGATATCGATATTTGGACACTAAGGAAGTCAGTTGAGTCGACGCATATGTATGTTTATCTTATCTCATAAAAGTCTTGACCATTTTATTCCCTTAATTCTTGTAGTTTCCTGATAGATCATTTATAAACTTTGTCTTGCCTATTGTTAATTGCTTTTCACCTTGTATACAAATATGTCTTAGTTCGGGTCGGTACACAATCACGCCGAATCTTACTTTGATGATGGGTCCGGCGTCAGTTTGTTGTCACGTCAGATGTTATAGTCTTTAATGAAAAAGTAAATAAACACGTCAAAGTGATCGAATAGTATTTAAAGCGTTTAAGTCTTTTGCTAAAACTGACAGTCCTTACTTTTGAAGTTGAAAGGACGCAAACATTTAGTTGGGTGGAAGACAAATTTAGGGAAATAATACCTGTTAGAAATTTTGTTCAATGAATGCACCACTGAATACAACACTGGGCGACACGGGTTAGAGTCTCAGAAGAGACATTACTTCCACTGAGGTCGTGGATACGTCTTGCTGACGAACGCCAACGAGAATGAAACTTAGGTCCGAGGCTTCCTGCTTACAACCAGCTAGTAACTCCATTCATTTCCAGACGTGGATGACCGAAAATGGCGGCAAAAGCTACACCTCTAAGCTAATAGATGACACCAGTCGCAACAACACAGCTGTGAAGTTAGAATGACCTTAAAACTTAAAATGTGCGAAAATGGTTTCAATAGACGAAAGTGAGCTTTATACTGAAGACTCAAACACTGGGGGCTGAGAGTATCAAACTACCACTATCCGTGTTTCGTCTGATGTAAATCATCGTCAAGTTTCTGTAATTAACTCAGAACTAAGGCTTTGGTTCATATTAGTCTTATGCATGCTATCCTAGAGGCTTCAATACAGGTTAAATTTTTCATCAGTGAACTCAGCAGAAAGAGGTGGAGATGTGGTCAATATGAAATGTAGGATCATGAAATAAAATTTAGTTGCATTCCGTTACAATAAACCATTCAACATTTTTATCCGCACAATGTCACCATTTAGCAGCTGTAATAAGTGATACTGATGAATAACTGCACAGCATGCTTCATATTTTTAAGGGTAAGAAATCTAACGAAAACAATTTGAGACTCTTGTTGATCTGTTACACTCTTACACAATTACTATAGCTGTTACCAAAGTATATCCACATAGGTAGAAACTATTAATAATGTACAGGAATAAACATTCCATAAATTACTCTTGTTTGTTATGATACCTTCCAAGATTTCTCATTTCTTTAGTTATAGGTTAGTTGATCTAGGTTCTTAAGTTTCAACCAATGGTTTACTGAGTTGAACATCGCTCTATATAACGTTTGAACTACTAGACAGTAACACTAACCTTTTTGTATAACGATTGTGACTGATTGCCTAAAGGGTGAATGTGTAATTGCTGAGGTGCGCTGCACAAGTTTCCTCTTTCTGTGCTGTTTAGAAGTGTACCAACGTGAATTGTTTCACTTTCAAACGAGGTTTTACATTTGCGCACTTGCTGAATATAGCATTAGACATGCACCAGGAGTACGAGCTCCTGTATATACTTCTTGCTCAAAGAACAATTGATATTGGCATCATTAAGTGAGATCAACTGATTTAATTTCGTAAGTCGATCGCAACAAATCTCAACGTCAAAACGCACTCCTACTACGAACACGTTAATATTTTCGAGAATAATATGCATTTTAACTACATACTCAACTTATACCAGCTACCAATATACACTATAAAGTAAACAGTTAAAAGAATGTCTCACTTTTAATTGGCCACGAACGTAAAGAATATAAACGTATAGGTAACTTTTGTAGCTTGCTTATTTGTAGAGCAAAACGAATAACCTATAAAAGCAAAAAACTAAATGGAATCAATGTTTCATGATGTTGATACGTGCACTCCAGAAAAAGTGATTTATTCATGTTAGCTTGAACAAAGAATACGACAATAACTACAACAACACTAAAGAATGCTACCAATAAACGTCTAGAGACGTTTTGAAAAGGTTGTGACATTCAATACGAGTGGTGTTGACAGTAGGAAATACAGCCCATATATCCGGATAAGTTTGCGTGCAGAATGATCAGGTGTATGTGAGCAGACTCCAACGTGCAATCAAAAAACGAAGAAGTTACAAAGGGAACAGTATATCATGGATACAAAAATCTATGAGAATTGTTACTAATGTTAATCAATTCCCTAAAGTACCCGACACTACGTGAACTTTAGTTTATAAACACTGTTGTCACTTACGAGACAGAAATATAACAAGAGAGAAAATAATATAACTACGTAACGATTCAGCTTGCCACATTTTATGTATGCATATCGGGATAGATGTTAAGATGAAAATAATGTGATAAAAAGTTAAAGATATTTATAAAACAACAAAATGAGATAATAAAAACAACAAGATATGAAATAAGAATCAAGATCAGTAAACGATATGGATGACTTTGTACTACAACTATCAATTTACAAGCCCATCTACTACAGTATTTAATCACTAGTGTCAGTTGCTTCGTGGACGCTAACTAGGAAGCCTAACACGGCTCAAGTCAACATTTATGCTAACCACCATTCACCTTCTCAACCTAGTCTTATTCCACCTAATATTCAACGTCAGATGACCCACTCTATAAATAGAACAGCATTGGTAAAACGTCATCAGTAACCAATGCAGGAAGAACTTTAAGTGACTTCATGATCAGCATACATCCTAGGTGACTGCAGAAACAAACGTTTTAGTCGGCTATCATCAAATACATGAGTGGATAAAAAAACAACTTTACAGGTCTGTAAATTAGTAAAAATGCAAATGTAAAATATTAGACAATAATCAGTTAATTGCTTATTTAATGCCTAGTTTCTGTTTTACACACTGCCAAAAGGTGCATACACCCCCAATCAATAAGAAGTTTCACCGATTCAATAAATATGAAGAATAAATTGTTCAAGCCCAACAAAGTACTTTTATAGCAGTGTAACAGATACACTGTACTGATAAGGTTCTTAAAAAGAAATGTTCGTTCAAACAAAAATTGAACAACTAATATCTAGCAAACTTAAGACAATTTCATGTTACGAAGGCTAGGTAAGATACTACAGACAAAGTATACATATCTTAAGCAATGGCACCGGAAAACTGTACTGTTGACTACAAATTGTAGAGTTCCAACGCAAGCTGATTCGTCATTATATCCAGGGGACGCTGTGAAGGAGCTAGAAGACTTTAGATATGCTTCTCTTTTATAATGCAACATTAAATACGATTTATAATTTTCAGCTGTGATAGAGCTAAACCCACTAGACTGAAAATTTGTTGGTTCTCATAAGTACGAAACAAGCCTCAGTTAACAATTCATTCAAAAAACAAAGGTCAGTTATCAACTACTGAATGGATAAGAGTGATGAGGACCTTGATAAAAGACTACATATATACTTTTACATACTAAATATTTACTACGAAGAATGGAATATTCCTACAGAACTGATGAGGCTGGAGAATGTTCAACGCTGGTCAATAAAGGACACGTTTCTGTACAATAACTTTCAATGTCCTGGATCAGAAACAGTGATGAACAAGGGTCCCATGATATTCAAGGAACAAGTGAAGTAAAGATTTGAGCAGGTTACTTGCTACGTGAGAATGACAGGAAAAGTTACGCTACTATTTTGTGGATTGTATTTAAGGTCAAAATACAAGATGGTATTTCGTTTTGATTTGGTTAGTCGGTTAGTATCGCAACTCCTCAACATGCAAGACAGTACGAAATGCATACAAAAGGAAGATTCTTAAAATCGCTAGCTACATTGACATATAAACCTCAGCTCTTCTGCATGTGTATTCGTATACTAATTTATACAGTTTACAGTAAGCCGTTAGTCAAATCTCTATCTTAGGAGGCTATCTTGTTGAAGACGATCAACCATTCAAACACTTTGTTCCACAGCATCCACCGCGGAAGCTCGGACACATTTTACGGTTGTTTTTGTGGTCTAGATAAGAAAGCACAATTCGCTGGTACTATAATTGCTTGCAGGAGGAGAAGAGGAGATCAACTGGCAACATTATACTAAGAAACCTAAAATATTGTTTGCTTGTGCAAGGACTGGACAACTGCCTTGACATTCCGTCAGAAGCATTTGAATCATTTGATGAGAACATGAACTCAAGTATGATCTCCAAGGTTATGGAGCAATATCAAGTGGTGAGTTGCCATGGTTACTAATCGCACTATGTAAACAATGGAACATAAGAAAGAACGACCTTTTAAACGAAATACCACTCAAAAAAGCATCAAGAAGCGAATATTTTGCAGGTCGTTAGGCTTCAAATATAGTCGATAGGCATATATTTAAAAGAGCGGGACAGCATAAATCATAAAAAGTGAGTCTAAGAGAAAACAGAAAGTATACACAGTAGCTCTAGATTTATTTCATCAAATTTGATGACATTAAAAAACACGAATAATTAAAACGTTATAGAAGTATGAATGCAATCTGAAGAATAATAAATGAAGTGGAAAAACTTATGTGAAGACCATATTTAATTATATTTTGTACAATCTTCAAAAGTGAAATGAAACGCAGGTACGAAATTTTTAATCTCGTCCACGCCCACGTCCCCTACCACGACCTCGACTGCGCCCTTTTTCATTACCGTCGGAAGATGAACCACGATTTGCCGGTGGTTTGGATTTTTCTGTGTTTGAACGCTTTTTTGTGTCTTCTTTTTTAACCTGAGAAGTGTATACAACAAAGTAAGTGGAACATAAGGCATTTACATGTACTAATTATAAAAAATCAGAATTCATATGGAGGAAGTTAGAGATACTGTACGTAAGAACAACAAAAGAAACTTATCCCCCTCATTGTTTAGCTGCACTCGTGATGGTCTTTTATCTATTCATCCAGCCGAGATTTCGGAAGCGCCACCTAAGTGCCTTTCTGTCTGACAGCCTACCCGCTTGTGCATTGAAATAACCTGCAACAATAACCACACCTGGACGTTTCGCTCTCAGAAGGAGACTAGACAGTTTTCGGTAGAACTCGTCCTTCACTTCATCCTAACTGCAGTCAGTGGGTGCGTAAGCAGATATCACAAAGTTACAACGGCGAGTCTCACTATTCCTTTTAGTTCTCACTGTGCCATTCAGCCAGGCAGCGCATAGGAGACTGTCAACTGGGAAACACCCTAGTAGTGAGTTCATTTTTCTAGTGCTTAATGCCATGTCTACACCTGCAAGACGGCGAGAACTAGCCATAGAATCTTCAGAAACTCGAAGGGTGAACTTTCTAATTTCACCACACTGACCAAAAAAAGGTTAAGTGAATAAGCGCACTTGGGCTCTTTATGCGTGTGTCACAGACATAGCACTTATCCATGGCCCGAGTTGCTAAACTCTTGGCCAATGAAGCCTGTTGACCAAATTGGTGGAGGGTGTGGACATTGAAGGCTCAAATGTAACTTGGAGTGTGGTTTAAGGAGACCAATGATGCTGTTCTGCGGACTCAGATCATTGTCGAAAGCTGAAGAGCCAGAAGAAGTTACAGATGATGTAGAATTCTTAACCGAGAGAGGTGAAGGAAGATTAAAAGTTACAGATGGTGGAGGTGGATAGTCGTCTGAGGGAACTTGAGCGCTGATACACATACCCATTAGGCTCATCACCTTCAACCTTCGCACCTTGATGCAGATCGGAAAACGCGTAGGTTTGGCTAGGACTTTGGAAAGTCGCACTGTTGATGTATGCTGCATCTCAGAGACCCACACACAAGATCCCAGTGAAGTGCTTTGAATAATTTAAGTGTAAAACTTGGGCACTGTGGTAGAAATTAATTCCATATTAGATTTGTTTATTTGGTTTACAACACACAGTGATCTAGTATTATTTACTTGATGACGTTTCGAGCATAAATTATTGCTTATAATCATATCCATGTAATCACACTATTTTCGACATTTGATTTTTATAGTTACGTCACTTTATTTGAGTTGTTTTTATTGTTCCTTATCTGTCAGCTCGAAAAGTATTTTTCATGTGCCGTTATCCGAGGACCCTATGCCATGGGCAACCGACCTGGCTGGTGTCGATATCGCACTAAGTGCTAGAGCCGAAGCTCCACTACTCGACTAGATTCCCATCAATAGTCTTCTGTGTGTGTTAGGTTAGAAGGTTCATCCCGGCTAAAAAGTGGGGATCATCTTCTGCAGCTTTGCGCTGATCACAACCTAATTCCAACTAGCACCAACTTCCGGCAGAGGCATCACCCTTGTGCTACTTGGCGTCCTCCCTCTGCCACTCAAGCTTGGACTCAAACAGATCATCTTGCAATCAGCTACCCATGGCGTGATTGTATACGAGGGCTACCGTTCCATATGGAGAACTTCGCTAGACTCTGATTATGCTTTAATATGGGCTAAGTTCGTCTTGCGTTTTGGCGGTCATCAAAAACGTTGCCCTAAACAGGTCGATCCAAGCAAATTAGTTGCACTTAACATTGTAGCTCAATACCAATCTTAACTACACTTAGGCCTGCTACCACCGAGCCTCCAGAAAGTCTAGACGACCATTGGTTGCATTTGCAAGAAGCCATGAAAATGGCGAGTAAAGTCGCTTGAGGTTTGGAAGAACATCGTACTAACAAAAACTGGATGTCTGCGAGCTGCCTAAAACATACTTGACGTCCGTCAAACCATCTCAGCGGTTAGCAAGTACAATAGCTTGTGTACGTCTCTTACGCAAAAGACTACAAAACGCTTACACAAGGACAGTGAGGCTTAGTGGTCAGAACGCGCGAGTGAGATGAAAGCAGCAGCTGCATCTGGCCATGGTCGAAATCTGCTCCAACTCATCAGAGACACTGACAGTGAGAAGCCAGATGTCAGTCAGACGGTCTATGAGGTACATGAGACCCTGATAAATAATCTTCAAGGACGCCTTAAACATTAGGTGGAGGACTTCCAAGAACAGTTTAACTGACGCACGGTGCCGGCACCTTCAGTTTCAGTATATCGTGCTGCATGGTCAGTCAACACTGATCCACCTAACGAAGTCGAGGTCCATAAGTAACCCCAAGTTCCGAAACACAACAAAGGACCCGAGTCACACAACTCATCACTAGCTTCTTTTAAGGGTGGAGAGGTGACTCTAATCAGGGAACTGACTAGATTGTTTGAGAAGGTATAGCAGGCTGGAAGTGATCCATGACTCTGGAATGAGGTCATCATTGCGCCCATCTTTAAAACGAGTCTACGTAATGTATGTGACAATCATCGGGGCATTAGTCTGTTACGAGTCACGTTAAAAATATTAGCTGTTATGATACCTCGAAGACTTTGGAAAACGCTTGAGAAAACGATTCGCGAAAAGGGCGGGTTTTGTTCAGGTCGTGGATGCATTGATCATGTTTTTATTCTGCGCCAGATGCTTGAACATCGCCGCATGTATTGCAGGTCAACAATGGCTGTTTTTCTTGACATTAGGGTTGTCTTCAATTCGTTGGGCATAGCTGAACTCTGGAATTTTCTGTCAGAGAGGCGTGTGGCTGAAAAGTTATTAACATCCTGAAGACCCTATATAAAAGCACCTCAGGTAAAGTGAGGCCATACGACCACTTATCTCCATTGTTCCAAACCATCAGGAGGATTAGGCGAAATTGCCTGATTTCTCCATTCCTCTTTAACTTTCTCATCGATGACATTCTTGAGACAGCTCTGAAAGAGGTGTGTGGTGTTGGTGTAGATATACTACACAAAGAACGGCTAATCGACTTTTAATATCCAAACGATATTATCGTACTGCGCAATAACACAGGCTACTCAAGTTACGTCTAACCAGTTGGCGATTAGTATCCATAAGTCCGGTACCTGCTTTGCACCATTAAAGTGCAAAGTACTTTTACAAGATTGAAAGGAGGCTGTGCCTGAGCCGACCTTAGGTGGTGAGTCATTAGAAGTAGTTGAAAAATTCGTGAATCTGGGTAGTGCTGATGGAGGTGTGAGTGGTGAAATTTTCAACCGCATATCGTAAGCTAGAGTGACATACGTCAATCTACACCACCTTTGGGACTGTCGCGACGTTAATCTGATCGTCAAAGGTCGAGTTTAAAACGCTTCGGTGCCAGCAGTTCTGCTCTACACCTGAGGATACGCGACAACTTTGTGCATTCGATCCATCGTTGTCTCTATAGGATTGCTCGTATCCGGTGGCAACACCAAGTGAGTAATTCTGATGTACGGCACCGTGTGTTCAGGTACGATGGAAATTGTCAATCAGTAAGTGAAGTCATGTGGAAATATTGGTTTCGGTTGCTTAGACATGTGTCACGTATGTAACCCAACTGCTTCCATACTGTTCAGTGTTTGCTAGCCCTGGGACTGGATGAAATAAACGGAGAGGTGATCAGTGTATGAATTGGGGCCATGTGATGAAGGGTAGTTGTGTCCGGTTGGCACCGGTCGGTGCATCATGACTTCCTGGGTAGGGTCTGAGAGATGGCGCAACTCAGTGGCTTGAGACGTTATCAGATGAGGTTCAGAATCGAAACCAGTGGCGGTTGCGCTGTGGCTTTCTCCTATCTTCGACCGCTGAAAGGTAATGAATGTTTTGTTCTGAATGTATCTAACTGGATTACTTTCCTAATCATTTTATCCTTACTGAGTTTTCCTTTTATCTGCCATCCGGTCTTCAAAACAGTGTGATATTATTTTATGTGGCTCATTTCTTGGTGCCTTTGCTGCACCGCTTTTGTGTTCTAATAATAATAAGTAAATCTGTATCCACCGCTGGAATGAAATCAATGGACTCCACGTCGGACAACGTCTCTTTATACCTGAATTAGGTGGAGGCCAGAAATAAATGGTCGTCTGAGAATAGTTGTAGGAAGCAACTGGCGTTATCTATTCGTCCAGCCAGAATTCCGAAAGTGACACCTAAGCGATTTTCCGCCTAAGTCTACCAAATTTCCTATCAATATGGCAGTAGTGGTCATCCATGAGAAAAACTATGCTGCTACAATACCCCTATCCAGCTAGTAGCAGTACGACTTCGCTTTCAGAGCCACATCATAGAGTGAAAATTTACAATACAACGATAACTGCTTTCCATCTTGTCACTAACCAACAGGGAATTCTGGTATGGTATGACCTCAAGAGAACAAGCATTCCATCAGCATTGCTCCTTAGGTCACTGTGATATGCAAGCCTGATCACCACATAAAGGTAGCAAGTATCGGTCACAATGGAAAGAGATAAGCAAAGATAATTATACCACTTTCTATTTCGAAGCCAACACTGACTCGTTATTTTTTCTGAAAAGAAATGAGATTGTTCGTGTCAACCACTTCTGTTTGAATGACTTACATAGCACCCCAGTCACTTATAGTTACTAATAAAAGTAATAAGGAACTTTTCAATTGACCAGAAAACATGTCAAGAACAATATGTTTAGCAACGTACCGATATCATGGCGTCATTTTTGAAGTCAACAGCATCATCTTCTTCCTCTTCCCCTTCATCAAATAGGCCAGAATCATCCTCATTTTCTAAGTCCAGTGAAACAGGAGCACTACCACGCTTACGTTTAAAAGAACCAGCAGAAGAGATGACGTACGGCAGTAGATGAGATGATTTATTGTATGAACGTGTCAACGCAGCTTTGACCTGTAAGGAAATAGAAGTATTGGATCAAATATACAACTACTCAGTTGCACTCATTAGAAACTACTTAACTAGTTTGAATGATTTCAAACCCATAAGTCACTTGTGAGATTTGATCTAGTTAGAGACCTATGGAGTGGCTACAAATACTACTCATACTTTTCAGAATTATATTTCATTAGTTCAAAGCCTTCTGAACCAAAAATCTAATTTAAAGACTAGACAATAATCTCAGAATAAAAATCAGAAATGAAGATTATTAAGGCAGATCTAAATGACAGTAAACGTTATTTGATGTTTTATTACCACAGGTTTCGCTATGTCAAACATCAAATACACAACGCCAGTATCAAAGCAGGTCATACAGACTTATTTCTTTTGGATGCGCAAATATTTTGAAAGTATGTGAACCAACACTATTTATATATACTCGGGACTGAGCTGAATACAACTTTGATACTGGAGTTGTGTGTTTGACGTTTAACACAGCAAAACCTGTGGTAATAAAGCATTAAATGATGTTGCGCATCAAACAGAAGTAAAGTTCGGACAGAGCATTATAATCATCGTGTCGAGACACTGGGTACTGAAATTCCTAACACGGTAGCCACAAAACATATGAAAATCAATGTCTACATAACTTGCTTAATTGATCTCAGCAAATAGAATATTTATTCCAATTGCATGTGTATGCGAAAGCTCACAGATATTTACAAGTTGGAAAAATGTTTAGTGACTTACTTTGGAATCAATACTTTGCATCCGATTCGCTCGGTTTGACCACGTAGTTAATTCCATTATTGCATCAACATCCTCTCTAGTCATTTGATATTTAACCAAAAATTCAACAGCACTATCGATGTCACCTTCAGGGATAAAAATTTAATATGAGATTATGGGACGTTAAGTTGTCACTTTTTATAATAACAAGTAGATTATTGTACGATGATGTACTTAACGCAGAAACAGTAACAAACAAATATTGAACGTGAGTGATTTGAAATAGCCAACATAAAGTACGGCGATAAGACAAACTAGGCTCTTAAGAAGACAATACCAAAAGAAATGAGTCAGCAGTTAGTACTGGAAAACATAGTAATGATTGGCGACTAAGTGGCCAATCAACCATTATTTAAGATAAGCTTAGATATCAACGCAAAGTTCAAAATTTGTTTGAATGAAACTATTATACACTAACAGACTGTCTATAAGTGATGAGTTGAACCCGTAACTAACGTCATCAGCTAGCCTCCTCCATTTAAAGATTTCTCTGGTCGACTGCATTCAAATCCTTGGAATCTAGATGTGAGTCTCGATGGAATTCAAAGTTATCGTGTCTCAGGATGCCTGATTCGGGAGACAAATGGCGTCTTAGGTTTTTTGGAAAAGGCACGCTTCTCGAAATACACTTTCATGATTAAGTCAGTCAGTCTGGTGGGAAAATGAAGCAACTCAGTTGGTATATTGTAATCTACGACACTTCTGCCACTCACCATACAACGGAATATATCAATCTATTCATTAGAAAAAAAAAGGAATATGATTGTAGCGAAGGGCAACACAGTCAACTGGCAGAAAATGGTAGACCAAACTTTAGTATTTATTAGCATTCGCTAGCAAAGCTAATTTGCCACTCTAACGAAACTCATGCTTCCTCCGAAATGATACTCAGTTAACAACTTCACCACGAAGCCATCAAAGTCCTAGTAAACTTGTATTTTTTTCATTCACACCATTTATCACACAGTAGCAGAAAAACTCTTTGAGAATATTCATTGTGAATGTTTTTTTACCAAATAGGTTTTAATTAGGTGCTACTACTGTGAAGACACCAATGTAAGTGGTTGACTTAAAGAACATTTCAATGGACCTTTGACCTTAGTTTGAATGAACGAACTAATAGATAAAATTGATGAGTTGCATGTATGTGTTGGTTAGTATCGATACTACGTTCATATGATATTCACATTGATAGGAAGCGGTCTAAATGGAAATCAACATTTTAGGTCATCAGCCACGAAGGTGGAGGTTTCGGATTTCAATTTTTGCTTCATATCCTTATGTGGTCAGGAAAAACCTTATTGGACAGTTTATCCTACAGTTGGTCACTCAAAATGTTATTTAACTTTTGATCTAGTGGATTTCTATGACGAACATAGTATATAATTGATGCATTTTTGTCGAGTAGTGTCCTCAGAACCACAGGTCGGTCTTTACATTGCGACTTTCGCGCCTAAGTAAAGTATAGGGTTCTGAGGGAGCACAGTCGCCATTTGTATCCAGTCCAAGTCCCTCATTGTGTTAATGTCGTTCGCGTATTTATCATTACTTTCACTCGGTCACTTCTAACTTATTAAACACCCTAAAGCCAATTTGAATTACTGATTTAACGAAAAAGATTTTCCATATCACCTAGGCATATCCCTTGTGTTCAGTGATGAAACTTAAGTCCCAATTGCCTGCTTTGGCTTTTCATTTTTGTGAGAATACAACCTACACATTAAGACAATGAAAACAATTTGCTTGAAATGATCATGTGTAGACCTTTTTCTCATCAGTCTAGGGGATCGAATATTAGACTACACCACTGTAAACACATACTCATGAACTGAATAAATACGTTTCTGAACTTTTATTGGTAGCTAAACAGTTGAAGCATTATTAGATTCACAGTGAATGAAACAAATCCCCAATATCCACTATACCTAGAGTGTTCCCTATGTACCTAACAAGCAGAATCAAGTTTTAACTTTCTGCCGATGAATTCCGAAAACTTTTCGTGCAGAATGGTCATCCATGTTACTGTGCAAATCTTGAAATGCAGAAACACTAGCAAAAAAAACAACATTAATCAGAACATATCGAAAATCTAATACCATCATGATCTCTTCGCTGCTTACTGGTCTTAGAATCCAGATCATAATTAATGAATGTGGACTGCGACAGGAAGTCTGATCAACGTAAATACGTCACTCTACATTACGCAAAAAAAAGTTGCTAGGAAAACATACACCATTCTATCTGTGGAGTAAATTTATATGCATTCATTGAAAATCATCGGCATACTATTCACCGAGTGGATATTAGATGACGATGTAAAAAAGGCGAAATCGTTCCATTCTCTCGATATTTCACAGTCGGAATAAGAACAACTATACAGGAATAGGGGAATAAAACACAAGTCATGGTGAAATGTGAGCAAATCTTAAGTTAGGAATGGGATGTGCATGCGAAACACCATGATATTTGTTCCAGATTCTTCCAGAAATACGTGTATTTTCAAAGGTTTTCGCATGTGTTACTAATAACCTAAATGAAATAAGATTAAAATTCCTTATCAAGGCGTACGTTGACAAATAATAATTGAATGCGCTGATGTTATTTCGACATAACTCTGTAGCAGACAGCCTTTACAATAGAAAAAAGTACAACGTCTTATTATTTATTATACCAAATTTATCACGAGATTTTTTTTTGAAACTTACCTTCCTTGAGTGGGCGAGTTATGAATTCTGAAATGGCTGTGGAATAATCCAACAGTAAAGTAAGTGGATTAGATGAACCACAGTGAGTCGCTAGCCGTAAATGTGAAGCTAATTCAGAAGTAGTACGACTAATGCGACTCTGTGTACTATTCTTACCAAACCAGGATGGAAATGAAACACCACCAGGACCACCAGGAAGAGAACCACGAAGAGTACGACCAGGTGACAGTACAGAAAATACACCCTGAATAGGCAGTAAAGACCATGATCCTGTACGTGCAGATCTGATGGTAGATGAGATAATATCTCCCGTAGCAATATCAGATGCAGCTTTAGACATCAATTCAAGTACCTTTTTATCATCTCTGAAGCCAAGAACAACGGTTAAATATGAAAAATGTTTAATAATTATAAAGGAAATTACAGATAGTATCAAAATATTTAAATCACAGTAATATTTATCTGATTAGCATGCAGTTATGGATTATAAAAATGGTATCACATATGCGACTGAGTAGGAATTTTGCTGGTAGGCTTGGGAATATTTCTTTCAGTTACACAGATATGTTTCACAAACAGAGATTTGTATCCACTCACAGTTACAAAGTCAATTTATAAAACTGAGGGATTGTTTAAGATGATTCTGACAAATCTTTAGCTGGGTTTTAAATCAGTATTTAGATAAACTGAATACAAACAACCATGCCATCACCTAAAAGCATGAGATTAAAAGATGGGATTACAATAATAACCTGACAGAAATATTTCTCCTTTTTAATCGGTAAAGGTATGCATTAATGTTCTCAAATTGAAAATTGACTGTCAATGACATTACTGAGTTAACCACCACCATGCAATTCAGTATTATTCACCAAGTAAAATGATTAGAAGTAATATTATGAGAGCATATATATATCAACCTATGACTTCCAATACATTCCGTAATAGACAAACATCATGAATACCAACGTATTGCAGATAAAAAAGGCCTAGACAAAATGGTATTTTGAATAACTAAGTAACGAAAACAGAATGATTGAGATGGATGAATAGTCTTTGCAACATGAAATGTTATTCCAAAATAAATCAATGTCCAGTCGTCGCTCCTGATAACGTAAAGGAAAAAAATAGTTGATTTTGCTGAGCACTTCATTAGGTTAGCAAGTCTCATTAGTATTCATCAAATAGTCATTAGGAAAATCTTAGTAAGAATATAAAAGGTTCAGTTAGTTTCTGTGGTATCAGTGCAACAACTGATCGCCTATTAGGAGTATTATTACTGTGAAACATTAACTTTGGAGATGTACTATGTGCAAACGTCAATATAAACACCATAGCATACCACATGTGATGTGTAATCTCTATATGAAAGATAAAAAGATTACAATAACTATAATGCGACTAAGTAACTAAGTGCAGGTTCATAGAGTGCACATATTATGTGCAGACTCACGAGACTTTTTACCTACCTAAGTCTCAACGGCTGAAGTCCAGTTCATAACCACTGATTGGAAACCAAGCATCTCAAACAATGAGTTTAATTAAAAATGATAAAGAAAATATGATAGAAAGTGGTCGAAAACAGAAATCAATATTTTCATTCGTCAACTATAGCATTGTCTAACCGTCAACTTCTGATCTAACACTACTGTGGTTATAACGACATGAGTATACGAATTGGTTTCTAGTGGGCTAATAAACATAAGTTATTTGGTCTTTCTGTCGATGCCCATTTTTGTATATGACGACAGTATATGTAAAATACGATTTCGCCCGAGAAAAGTTGTTCTAGTAATCACATATGAGACTTCAGCTTCTGCTACTTTGCGCAGCCTAGTGGGGTATAAAGAATTCGGAGGTAGTCATCATTCGTGTTCAATATATTTATTGAATTACCAAATTACAAATTTTATTTGATCAGTTTAAGATATGTGTAGAACAGTTGTTAAAAGAAAGTAAAATTAACTGACAAGAATATTAACTGTCATTAAACGATCTGCTTGAAATATATTGATCGTCATCTATGCCGACACACAACTGTAGCAACAGTAGGTTAGCAGAAGTTTATATGAACTCTTTACAATGGCTTAAGCATTCCGGTTTGAAAGTGGAGCGCGGAAATACGAAATCGTGCTGGTTAATAACAAGAAGGATAAGTAATGTACTTACGGAGTATTATGAACTCTAACATTTAAATAATTTTCTTCAACAAATAATGGAATTAAACTGTAATCTTGAAAAAATAGATCTAAACTTTCATTGAAGGTGGCAACACTCCTTTGAACACCAGAGATATCTGGGGCAAACACTTTACGAATAATATCAAATGCATTCAAGTGTAGATCTTTACGTGCACCCAATGCATCAGCTTTCAATCCATCAGAATCTACTATACCACAACTGCACCACATTTGAACATTATTAATCACCTAAAACCAGATGTGTAAAAAACGATAAAACCTAAATAAGGTAATGTTCAATAATAACGATAATTTAATTCAGTAACTGTATAAATCCATGGTGTAAAAGGCTATAAAACAAAGTTTATATAAGAGCCATGAAAATACAATCTTGCTTTTTGAAATGAAATTAATATTCATGAACTGATAGATACAAGTTCAGTGACTGGAACAATAAGCCTGAGTTTCGCATAAACATAAAAAATGTCAAATCATGAAGAAGACTAAATTGTTGTAAAAAGTCTTGGGCAATCAAAATTTGTGATTTCTACTAAAATCTCCATGAACTATAATGTCAAAGATAGTAATAACAGCAACTTTTTCGGTAAGATGAAATCGAAACCAGTTTTTGCAATGAGATGTACACAAATGGATGAAAATGGATGTGTGAAATATCAGTTATTTTAGTGGGAAACCATAATTTTCAGTCTATATTATATTCCGGTTGAGATGTTCATCCTAGGAGAATTCATACTGCATGCGACTTCTAGTGGAGTTGTGCCTCATTGGTTTAGGCAGTCGACTTCGAACTTATAAGAAGCGGGTTCGAACACCACTCCACCTATCAAGGTTCAGACAACCGGGTAGTACCACTAGCCTGCACAACGTTTCTGATAGATTTTCGACTCGATGCAACCCGTGAACGTCCATATTTAATTACATCAACTTAAACGAAGTATGAAACCTGCTGCAAACAATAGAGAAGAAAAACGGTGACCAACTGATTGATGAAACATTCATCCAATTTTACAAGTCATAAGAAGTGTTGCACACGCTGTTTTAATAAATCAGTAAGAGAAAGTAATCATATTGGAGGAATGAAAGTGATATATAATAAGAAGAAAAAGCTAGTTTGCACTGAATTCGGTGAACGGCCGTTTTGTTCCACATTAGTATCGATATATATATATATATATATATATATATATATATATATATATATATATATATATATATATATAACGGATTCGATCTTCAGTTGGTTACCTCAACTACTATATTCACAAAAATACAAGTATTCTGAGGTAAATATCTTCGGCAAAAGAAGTTGTATGCCTCTAGACAAACACAAAAGGCTAGCGACTATTAGATTATGTTGTCTGATATTTGTAAAGCTGAAGGATTTTCAGTTCCTATCCATTCAAGGGAAGCGTTATTAAACGGTTAAGGAAGTATTATTTGTCTGGCACAATATTCTAGTGCGGTTCAATCAATAAACATGAAATGGCTTTCAAGGTGTATCGTCACAATGAAACGCAAGATCCTTTGTTATTTGTAGCAATTGTACGACGACTGTCCACTTGAAACTGAGTGTTTTGTTATTATCATAAACTCCTTTTGCCATTTGCAGATAATGTGTACCAGTAGCCCATAGACATTTGAATTTTCCCAATACCAATACACTATTTAAATAGTTTCTTCTTCCTTTCAAACTTGCAGTTAACTGATACAAAGTCCCTGTAGAGCGTATTACCACCAACTCTAATTGGTATACAGAATTCAGACTGAAAACTAGAGAAATGACACTGAAGCTTAGAAAAATAACACGTTCCTTCATGTTCCGTTTGAACTAGCCACACCCCTCCTAACACAAAAGTTCTAGTTCTTTATTAAAGTACTTGGTTTTGGGAAAAAATTTCGTGTTTTCATCTATGTATATTGACACTTTAAAGATTGAAATATTTGCAAGCATCGCTAAGAAAATGAGAGCTCATGTTAAGATACCTTCTGCGTAGATATCTATGGAAACAAACCTCTCAATGGTATGTTAGTCATGATCAGCTCAGAGTAAACCATCTACACATACAATAACTTAAATATCAGAAAAACGACCTGACAGACAAAATCAACGTAGAACCTCCCACACAAGTGCATCGATTCAAGTTGCCACAATTCACAATAGTATACAAAGAACAAGTGGATAGAAAAAGTGATATCAAAGAGGACAAAGTTGTGTGAGAGAATAAACAATTTGAAGATAAAGCTTATTAGAATATTCAAGCTTTATAAGACATTAAAGAGTGCATACATCTGCGCCATTGTAAATGATTTTCACTCATATCACCAAGAGTTTTAAACCGCTGACTCATGTCATCTCGGGGACTCCCACTAAGTAGTCTACATCCCTAACACGACTCAAACCAACAGTCAGGGACTTTATCGACTGGTACGTCTTGGTCTGGTCACCTTGAACTTTCTTCCAACCTAATCCAACTTCCCCTAGCACATCACGTCAAGGTAGGAGGTGGCCCGGTATCTGCAGTTCATATCCAAGCCACCTCAGTAGATTAACGTTCACAACCTCATCAATAAACTTGCGTGTCTTAGCCCAGCAAAAACAGACCTGAAAACATTAAAATGTTTAAGAAATCATAAACACTACACATGACAAAAAACAAATAATAAAAGCACTATAATTACCTGTCTGATATCATGATTACTTGAATCAATAATATTTGTCAGTACATCTGCAGGTAAATTTACATTTTCTTTAAATGCAATCGAAAGAACCGCTGATTTTATCTGTTCAACTCGTGGACGATGAAATCTTAAGTCTAAACAATAGTTCGATAGGGAGCGTATCTTTATGACAAAAATAGAAAGCAGTACGTTGATTGTTAAAATTATATATATATATATATATATATATATATATATATATATATATATATATATATATATATATATATATATATATATATAAACACTAAGATCTATAACACGTAAATGTAACTGATTCCCAAGTCAGAAATGAAGTTAGTAAACTGAATCCTACACCTACATATAACATTTAATAAAACAAATATACTGGGCTGGATGAACGATATGAGCAGAATTCCGAAGCGATGCAATCACTATTTTGATTGGTTATTGCGGAGTAACAAATCTTATGTTATCTAGTCCAAAATTCCGACAAAATTTCAAAATGATTTCCATAGGGATATAGGTTCCCCTTTAGGTCTAAGCTACATCTAACTGATTAATACCGATAAGTGAGAAACCTAGGTCCAGGGTTTCTTCTCAACTTCCGTCAAGCAGCTAACAAAGACAACAACCTTTGGATAGACAAAGTGTCAACGATAACATGATGCTACACTTAACTAAGAATTAAAATTCACCAACTTTGGGCAGTGATCTGTTAATTCAAGGAGTTTATGTCAATAATTTCAAACTCGCTAACAGATGGTTTCTAGTCATCTTTTCGTCTCCTGAATATAAGGATTCTCCTATTACCAGGAAGTAAGCAAATAAGGGTTAAGATGTGGTGCACAAAATCAAACACTTAACCTTCAACATATAATTTACGAGTTGAAATCTCACTCCACCTACTTAGGCCTGGACAAATTGGTAGTACTGTTGTAGCAATATAAATAGAATCTGATGAAATTGTACAAAATGAAAACTCAACATTGAAGCAGTTCATGCAAATATTGTCTGTACTACACATTCGAAATAAATTGGTCTCCAGTTTCTCGTACTTCACTTGCTTTCTGTAATTCTTTAGTGTTCTCGTTTCTTCCTTAAGAACCTCTAGCAATTAAACCATAACTCCACTTGCTTTTCTCGCGGATATCGTACTACATCCTTCTAACATGTATTCATATGACGAGAATACAATACAAAAACCACAGGTTCTCACATGACTAGTCTGGTTGAGATCCTAATACATAAAGATGTGCTTAGTTGAGCAACGTTATGCTAAGTAGAGGATAAAAACATGTGAAATACAGTTGAAAAGCTGAGGAATATCTGTAAGTTTCCCTATGATATTAAAACTTCTTTGTGCAGTTTTCCACATGATAACGTAATCTAACAAATGCGCGAAAACGTTATGAACAGTTAACGCTTTGAAGTCACAAAATAAAACAGAGATGTCCACGTAGTTTAATATGTAGTAGCTGATTAAGGCAATACCCGGTAAGCACCTATGAAAAATTCACTGATGAAATAAGAAAACCAAAGAAGTCAGTATGAGATACGTTGGCTGCAATAAATAGATTCACACCATATAATCTACAAAGGTGTTGATATTTTTACTACTACTAAGGTAGTAATAGAGTATCAAAAAATATATTCAGAATGTAAAGCTAAGGACCAACAACTTTAAAATCTCTAGAAACGGAATTGTTATTTTACTAATTTTTTACTCGGTACCGAAACCTCTTGTAAATATTTTATTAGTGCTTTTCCCTCTTCTTCCTATCCTTATGGGTTGCTTCGCTTGTTTTCATGTGGTCTAGTGGTAATCGTCGTTGAAAAGAAAGTTAAGTCACTGCAGGGTTCGAACCGCTGGCCAACAGCTCAGCAACTTACTGATTGAGATATGAGATATTCAACTGCTGACCATGACTCACTCTCACCTCAGTGATTGGTTAGGTGTCCTACCAAATGATCTCCTTTCAACATTTTGCATGTTATTGATTATAATTAATTATGAGTAATTGATGTTTATATGAGGAGTTTCTCATTTCCCTATGATTATGTTAAAAAGGTCAAAGTAATTAATTACTTGCACCCAGTATCATGGCAAATAATCAAACCTAGACATTCAAATGCAGCTGTTGATTAACAAAAAAGGGTAGGCAGATTCTGTAGATGAGACCATGTTACAGAAATTGGTTATTCTTATTCGAAAAGTTCTACCAAGAAGTGGTACATCAAATTAATTTGATGCGCTTTATAGAAAAGCATTGCAAAACTGAATCAAAAGAGTACACTAAAGGGAATGAGAATGATTGTAACCAAAACGGTAAAGCACAGTAAGGCAAAAGAAAGAGAAAAGGAGAATGTAAAAGATAACATCGATCGCATCAGCATGCAGTTTTTCAAACAAACACGCGTTAGTGAACAGAGCTTTAAAAAATATTTGTCACTTGAAGGTTAGTAATACCATGCATCAACAAAAACACTGATTGATGGAGCCTGTTTCAGACCTATGACCCATTGAGTAAACATTGAGCATTTGATAAAATGAGTCAAAGAAACATCAGGTAGTGCACCTGCCCTAATTTTAAAGTTTGCCAGCCATGTTTCCCAGTCTTGAAGTGCTGACTTTCGTAATTTTCCTACCTTCTTTCATCACTCTTAAATAAGGCTATAACATTACTCACTCCACGACATTACGCATGCTTTTAACTTGCTGGACAGAAGTTTGCTCTGGAAATCTTTGCAAAATACGGGTATTAATGTGGAGCTTGCTGTCTTGAAATCTCACGCGTAAATGTAAGTAACTCAGAGTGAGAGTAAAGGCATATCTTCCTTGTTACACCTTTTTCTAAACAAGCATTGGAATAAGGTAGGGTGTCTGGGCAGTGAATCTATGGATTAAGGTGCAAGACTTTCAACCAGTAAGTTGAAGATCTCGACTCTACCCAATCTGATGAAATTTGAGCATCCACATTATATCGTCAACAAATAAATAAACAAATTATAAAAAGTAACTCACTACGGGTTTGTGTACAAGACTATAATGAACATTCAAAGTGCGTGGGTTTATGACACAATCCAGTTGCTTAAGCTGAAGTATGTGGAGCAGGGTTTGAATGCACGACTTGTCGCTAAAAAGTTCAGTGCTTGAACAACTTAACCACAGCTTCACATTCTTTGTTTGAGTGAAGGGTTGGATATTTTTTCAGTTCACTTCAACCGCGATGTTTAAGATATTTTTAAGAAACCTCTAAAGCAAGAAAGTGATGGAAGTAGTGTTGATCGGTTATTTGGAGCTCAACTTTTAGAACAGCTATGAACTACTACGGTATGTACAACTCTGTTCTATTTTTATCAGACACAACACCCAGTGAGTCGACCATGTTTAGTAACTTTTCGTGTTCCGAAATCGGTATCTACGTAGCGCTGCTCATACGTCATGTTAATATTATGTATAAGATTCGGAAGTTTAAAATGGTAAGTTTGAACTGGATGAAAGTTGTGATTCAGAGGGTGAATCTATCTTGAAACATTGGCTTCACTGACCTGAACACAGTCCTATACATGCCGTCTAAGCAGAAGACACATACCACCGGATATTTGCTAGTTTTCAGACTAACTGGATGAAAACAGGAGGTGGTTAGCTTATGCTATGAAACAGTATGATATGAAACATTTGGGCTGAGTTGCTTTTAAGTAGTGTACTTCGACTCTTCCAATGGGATTCCAGATATAAAACAACTGTGTCTAGATACGTTATCATATGTGAAACGACAAACTTCTTTCTGTTTCCCTAAGCTCCTCGAGTGTTTGAAGTGACCATTTTCCATTTTTTATCACTTCATTTTTTGCTGCTTTGTGCTTAACCTTAAAACTTTATAGTGTCATGACAATGCACTGTGTACTACATTTCATCATTCCTTACCGCACAAAGTTTGCATCAAAATAATAATAAAAATAATATTCTGCTGAATAAAGGGAACCAATTATAATTGTTTTGCAGCACAAAGCATCGAACTAAAATCCTAATAGTTTCATTGCTATGTTTTTTTCTAGAATCATCACATGTCATTCAAGTAACCCATAAGTTAAACATATAGTCCTCCTCAAATGAGTTGACGAGATTCGAAGCTTAATCGACTGAATTGATGAAAGTGTGTTAAACATAACTAACGGTCACCTACATCGATGGGCAACATTATAGGGAGTAGAAGCAAATAGCGAAAAGCTCAGCGCTGAGCAAATCAAATAACAGCATCAACATACGATGCTTCTAGTTCTCTTCCTGAGCTGAGTCATGTTTCTATGTTAATCTGTCTATTTTATGTTTGTCTTCAGGATTTCCTAGACGGATAGTTGACTAATTCAGATGATATGATGCGTTTCATCATATACCCATCATCATTTATCCCTTAGTCGGTTTTTTTATCGTTTGCATTTCTTTTCACATCATCTCAATGTACGGAAACATAATAACTTGAACCGATACACAACTAAACCATATCTCATATTTGACCTACCATTATACGATAATAAAAACTGCACTATGTATTGACTAACAGCATCCTGAAAAAAAACTGAATGTCAGGAACTCATCAGCAGTAGACTAATAAATAATAGTACCTAATGTATGCTGATATTCATAATTCTTGCAGTCAATAAAGAATAGCAGTACAACTAGTCAACACGTTTTGTAATTCACTCCAGGATGACCTAGTGTGAACGAGTATATTGGTGAATGAATAAAACTGTCGAAATATCTATGGTAGAATGGAGGATATCGGTGGGGGAATATGATGTAAAGTAAAACTAAGCATAATTCCTTGAAGAAGACAAAAGAATACTGAAGTGTATAAAACTCATCTAATATCCAAGTACAATAAACCACCGAGTCTGCTTCGCTGGAAACATTCATAACCACTGCAGTTCGCTCTATTCTACTATGTGGCTGTGAAACATGATGATTATGCGTAGAGAAGACTTGAAGTGTTCGACCACCATTGCATTCGTAACATAGGCCGTATGTGGCGGTTTCACTACGGTATTAATGCAGAAGTCAGGGGTAGAGCCTTGGGCAAAAGACGAAAGTCAGTCGATGAGTTTTGAACCACTATGCAGTACTGCTAGGCCCCATGTTGATATTGTCTGTCTGTTTACCTATTTTTATGACCGAAAGGTAAAAGCTGATTTAATGATCAATAATAATCGTCAAAACGACGTCTACATTCATTGTTTCAATTGAAGTATATCAACAAACGTTTCAAAAAATCGAATTGATGGAAGAAAACAGCAATGGACTAACCAGGAACTATGGTATTTATAGTCTTTCACAATGGATGTCTTTAAAAGGTAGTTGCGCTGTGAATAGATGAGCAACATCATTTCACTGATTAGAAGTCCTGATGATGTCATACTTATTGTAACTCGCTAAATTACTCATGAACACTATCGTTTTGTCTCTGTGCTTGATTTTTCAGATAAATATACAAAATAACGACACTCACTTTTATCGCTTGACGATCGTTACACATACAAATAATAGGTAAATGGGTTGCTTTTATCATATTGATAAGCTCCTGCATTCCCCCACGATCTTCATTACCAGCCATGCCATCCACTTCATCCATGATCAAAACATGGCGACCTACATTCAACTGTGATGCTATAAAGAAAACATACACCATATACTATTGGATTAGTACCAGATAAAGACAAACAGCTTCAATAATGCGTTGAATCCTAGCATTCTTTAGTAAGCTAAAAAATAATTGAGAAAAAATAAAAACTACAGGACAAACTGAAAATTTGAATTTGCTTGTATTGAATATGAAGTTTAGATAGCGGCTTTTTGGCTGAAAGATTGAGAAAAAAACATGCTTAACAGTGTAATGCAAAGAAAGATTGTGAAATAATCACTTTCAACGTCGATTGGTCTAGCCATCCACTATATTGTGCGGCCGGTGCTGACCTCCATTAGTAGTAAAATACTTGAGGTATCTAACAATTAACTGTAATCACTGATGATAGAGAGATTCGTAAATGTCATTGAGTGGCTGAGAATAATGAAATATTCTTAGGCAGCCATGAGATAAAAGCCAAAGTGAAAGAAGTCTCATTCGCTACCCTCATTTGGCAGAAATGTTTTCAATAAAGATGGGCAAATGAAAGTAAATGTATAGCGCCTATCATTAAATTGTTAGTTTCAAGATTTTGAAGGGGGTTGAGTAAGAGCCTGTCCTAACCTTGATGTTAGGACATTATCTTTTGGACAAAAAACTTTGAGTGCAACATTTTAGGAGTGACCCATTAAGATAAATGCTTGCTTTCATCTCGGTGCCATGACATTAATTCAACCCCGAAATAAACTGTGGCACAGCACGGCGACGAATATCTCTTAAAGTAAATAATTTCAAAATATACACTAAAAATCGGAAAACTAAAGAATATAAATAATGAGTGATATTTAAACGAAGTAAAAACTGATGGATCATCAGAATAAACATAGAGAAGAATGTACATAGAGAAGCATTTAACTCAAAGAGGAGAAGAAAGCCTAAATTGCAGTACCCTAAGCTCCGTTGAAGAAAGGGAGGTATAGAAAAATAAGACTAGACAATTCAGACAGATTGACTGGTTAAGGAAGCACTGATGAGCATGAGGAAAAGCCTTCAGCCATCACATGTTTCTGTCAACAAACAGGTGTTATAAACATTTTGTTTTAGATCACAAATGGTCAACATAATCATGCATTCATCAAATGGTACAAATAATCTAGATAAGGTAAATCAAACTTTAATCAAATTAGACTCAAGGTTTTTACTAGTACTACATTTTAACTATTACCTGATAAAATGATGGACGATCGCGAACCAAAAACTGCTTACTAATCTCAAATTATTGCAAAACTGTTAGGTACAAATACTTCATGATGGTTATGAGGGTGAAACTGAAAGGCAAACATTTGGTTGTGTAGACATAACATTCAGATAGGTTACCTATCTAAATGGCACTGCATAAATTATATTTCCCTCCTTCAATAGACTTTGAAACATAGATATACTTATTGAAGCCCGACGCTTACTGCACTTCCTAACAAGGTGACATTTCATTCTTTGATGAGATGTCACCCACGTTTTTAACTGTGAAATGACGATCGAAGAAGTTACTTCTTTTCATCGAGGCTCTTTATCCGCACTCGGGTAGCTTGACGGCTTATCGAGAGTTCAGACCTAAAATGATGGACAGCCAATGGTACCCACCAAGGACGTGCACAAACACCATTCCTATTTAGCTTTGTCACGCATATCCTGATGAATGTGACTCTATTTCCTTCCGACTGTTAATGAATTGGTTTCTTCTCTGGCGGACATACGGTCATTACTAGTAGGATTTCGCATATATCTGAAATTAGTGTTGAATCGTTCCTTCTACACGTATAAGAATAGATGTTGAGTCGATGAAAAAAGATTCACTGATTGACTTCTGTCTCCACTTAACTACATTAGTCTATCAGCTTACTACTTTGTTCCACTCTACTATGTGATTATGTTATAGAATGCATAAATATGGTTGAATTCTTATCTAGATTACTCATCTTAACATGGACAGTTGACAGCGTAAGACCTAGAACATTTAATCCTACTCCAAAATTATGGTGGATATATATAGGTAACATACATATTGTGTTGAAATCTAAACATATCCATACTTCGTGGTAGATGGAATACAACTTGCTTTCATGGGAAGGCGAAGGAGAACTAGCTAGTTTGCACACAAAAATAAAACGACGACAAGGCGGCGGCTCAGACATAGGTGTCTACAGAAAACTACTGCACCCCAATAAGCACCGAGCTTCGGGTCATGTTACATTAGTAAAGGTAGGTTTAGTTTACTGTTTGAGTATTCGGACTAGGAGTCTGTCTGTCTGGTAGGTCAGAAAACTCCAATAAAGAATTGATACACAATAGATACTTTTCTTCTGGATAATTAACCTCCTAAGTTTACTTATAGATATATAAGAACGAAAAAGAAAAAGTATAATATGAGCAATGCTTGAAACACTACTAGGAAGGAATTCAAGGTCTCTTTAGTTTTGCCATAAAAGGAAAGGATATAAAAACCCTATGCAGAATTATCAATGAAACTAGAACTCGGTTGGCATTCAAACGTATAAATTGACTTGCAGACAAAATTTATCAGCTTGAGGATTCGAATGACTGAATTAGACAAAGTAATTTAGTCTGCCAAATACGTTGCCATGACTGAGGTCAAGCACATACGTCAAACTAGTTGGTCGGGAAACCTACGACTAGATTGACAAACTCTATTAAAAAGAGTAATCTAGATAAGAATTCAACCATATTTATGCATTCTATAACACAATCGCATAGTAGAGTGGAACAAAGTAGTAGGCTGATAGACTAATGTAGTTAAGTGGAGACAGAAGTCAGTCAGTGAATCTTTTTTCATCGACTCAACATCTATTCCAATACGTGTAGAAGGAATGATTCAACGCCAACTTTAGATATGTGCAAAATTCTGTTAGTAATGATATCAAAGAATGAAAAGCAATACAACTATAAGAAAAATTATGATGAGAAGTTGTGTGATTACCCTGATATGATTGTGAGCAATAAACTGTGCTCAAAACATCGTAAAATATATAGTTTAGTACTGTATCTTCGTGCGCTTTATCAAATAGATCGATCGAATACGGAATTACACCCTAATGCAGTGCGCAAATTCTATACCTACACAAAAGAAACCTCAGATCACCTGGGATTTGCTAACTTATGCCATCTGTAGTACCTATGAGGGATCTAACTACCTATCGAAGGATGACTTCGCTGTACAACATTTCGGTGCATCCCATGATATGATAGTGAGATATGGTCGTTAAAAATGTCAGATATGAAAAGCGTACAGGTTTTCATTCAAAAATGTGTTCCCAACTGGGTATAAACTAACTATTTTATCCCCATCGAAACAAAGAAACCTTGAGAAAATGAGACTGTTCATCCATTAAAGTGGCTTTCATTGAATTTCTTAATCCCAAGGTGTAATATTGGTAGCACAACAGCAATGAGTGAAATGATTTTTGAGATCGTATGCACATCTATATCATTCCAATGCGAAACTATGAAACCTTAGGAATGGTCAAAATCGTTGAAGATATGAATACAAAAATCACTTTAGAATAGTTTAAGTTGTACCTGGTTACCTTCTGTATCTCCGGCTAATACATATCAGTCTATTCAAATCCTTAACGTTGTATCAAAGTAGAAGTGACTAACAGTGCAATGCTGTAAGAATATGCGACAAACTAGACTACTGTAAAGTTGTATTGTCTTCAGCCGAACCATTGTTGGGACGACAGGAATTTATTTACGATCGTTTTTTAAATTTAGATTCACTGTGTCAACTACTGATTCTCACAAATGGTGGGGTTCAACATAGGGAAGTTCCGATTATAGCGAAAAGAAACCGTTGCGACAACCACAAATCCCAGCAAGGAAAAGGACATTAACAGGATATAATCAAATATGTTAGGGTTACGAGAAAATCTTCCAAACCCTTTCATTTTGCTCCAGCTTGAGCTAACAACCTAGTACGAGAGTAGTAACCAAACAACACGCGCAAATAGCAAACATTGATACGCATAATTGAAGAAAATACACCATAAATGTATACCTTGTCCAAACGCCATATGAGACAAATTTCGCAAACCCAAAGACTGTCCGATTTCTTCGCTTAAGCACCGCTTTGATCGACAATCGGATGCATTAAACTCACAGTACGTGAAGCCAAGTTCTTTACATGCTAGAATGGCAGTCGAGGTTTTCCCAATACCTGGAGGTCCAGAGAGAAGAGCTGCACGCGCCCATTTACCATCATCACTTGATGATGGACCCCATGGAGGGGCGCTTGAATAGGCTTTTGCTTTCAAACCTGAAGCAAAACAGAAAAACAGTAAATAATGAACTAATCGAAGAGAGAGAAATAACCCCAAACACCCAAAGTATATAATAAATAATGAACTCAGTACTGAAAAACGATAAATATGACAATGCAAACAAACATACATTCATATTCCATCTCATAACCCAATGATTATGCATATAATAGTAGATATTGGACAGCTTGTAGAAATTTAAATCCCATCACTATTGAGCATATAGAACAGCTTCAAAAGAATACACATAAACGAAAAGAGCAGCATATAACCTGGCACATAGGTAAAGTCCCCACACCACAGCAGCATTAAAATAACAAGTGAGTAGAAAAAAAGTGATATTAAGGTAGAAGAATGTGTATAACAGTTTAGAGAGTAAATATGCGAAGGTCGATGAAAATATTGAAGATTTCAAAGATGAGGAAGAATGTATATATTTGCACCATTGTGATAAGTTTTGAGCTGTCACCAAAAGTCTCAAACCGTCAGTTCTTATCGTCTTGAGAACTACAGTCAGACGATTTATACCCTCATACCAATAGTCAGAAACTTTATGAATTGGTTTTATGTCTCAGTTTGATCCCTATTCGCTTACTTTCAACCTAGTGCCACTTTGGTTAGCATCACACGTTAACTAGGAAAGAAAACGGGGTCTACTACGCAATCTCATTCAAACAAGATACATAGAAATAAGATATTTTTCACTTAAGCACCTGTTACCAACAGTAACTTTTTTATTGAGACATAGCAGACCTAACAATCTTGAATGTTAGGAAATGACTCCATAAATGCTCAAATGTCTACCCTCTTCATATTTCTTTATTGTATAAATTTACATGAACGAATAATAAACTTCTCCCTACACCTGAATGCATTTAAACTATATCACGAATTTAACAATCGATAAATGAATATTCAGTGTAAAAATGTAGATTAGTTGAAATATAAGTGTAAAAAACCACATGAAAATTGTGTTTCAAGAATATAAAAATACTAAGAGAATCATGCCTTAGTGAAAATTAACCGACTACTCAAAGATGAGCTATAAACTATTATTATTATTATTATTAGTCCCTAGGGATCCTAATGGAACATAGGGCTTCAGTAGCACGTCTCCATTCCACTCTGTCCTCTGAAATCTTTTGGACCTGGCTCCACGACAGCCCACAACCTCTTATTCCTTCCTCGCACGATTTCCTCCATGTCACCCTCATCTCGGACGCTCAACTCGTCGCTTCACTTGCGGGTTCCACTCGAGGGCCTGACCTGACGCGTGATGTCCCCAGTCGGCCTTCTCAGTGTATGCCCAATCCATCTCCACTTCCTTCCAGTGCATATTTGTTGGGTGATAGGTTCTTGCTTCGTTGGTTCGTTCCCAGAGCTCCTCGTTGCTTATTCTTTCGTGCCATCTAATCTTCAGTAGCGAGCGTAAGCAGTTGTTGATGAATGTCTGTAGTTTGTTGGAAATCCCTTTCGTGACGCGCCAAGTCTCTGAACCATACAGAAGCACCGACTTGACGTTAGTGTTGAAAATCCGTATCTTGTTCCACATGCTGAGTGCAGAAGATCTCCACACTGGTTTCAGGCTAATGAACGCCTGTCTTGCAGTCTTTCCGATTCTGACTTTGACATCCTCGTCTGTGCCTGTGCTGCCTGTAGTTGAAACAGTGCTTCCTAGATAGGTGAAGGAGGTTACTTCCTTCAAGTTTCTTCCATTGATGGTGATTGGAGTTTGTTGTTGTTGTTGTTGGTGGTGGTGGTGGTGGTGGTTAGGTATCTTCATCACCTCTGTCTTCTCCACATTCACTTGAAGTCCCGTCTTCGCTGCCTCTTCTGTCAACTTGTTAGTTTTTGCCTGCAGATCTTCAAGTTTGTGTGACATCAGGCACAAGTCATCGGTGAAATCCAGATCTTCTAGGTTCTTTTCCACAGTCCAGTGTATCCCCCTCTTCTCACTCCCCACTGTTTGCTGCATGATCCAGTCGACCACAATCAGGAATATCATGGGTGATAGTAGATAGCCTTGTCTTACTCCTGCCTGTCTTCACTTCAAAAGCATCACTGAGCTTCCCATTGTGAATTACTTGGTATGTGGCGTCTTCATATAGTTGTTGAATGAGGCTGATAAAGGTTTGCGGTATTCCGTAGTATTGAAGCAGTTTCCAAATTACTTCTCGGTCGACGCTGTCAAAGGCCTTCTCAAAGTCGATGAAGTTGAGGTAGAGAGTTGACTGCCATTCTATACTCTGTTCTATGATGATGCGTAGCGTAGCGTTGCAATTTGGTTGGCACATGATTTGTACTTCCTGAAGCCTGCCTACCGATTTCTCTTCAGCAATCATAGACAGATTAAGGTCCTAAGCTATAAATAATATTCAGGACTAATACTCAGTTGTAAAACACCTAGCCGGTGGCGAGTGATTCAAATTCACCTCCTCCTTAACTGATAGCAATGATAACATAAATGAATGCACTGTATTTCCACATAACTCTGAATAGTAATGGCATTATGAAAAATTAAAGTGACAAATGGTCACCGTCACAGAAACAGTTAGTCAGCTGTAAATCAACATCCAAATAATGAAACAACTGATAGTTTACTAACCTGCAGAAAAATTTGAATGCCAAGATGAAAGCCAAGCTAAAAGTCGATTGGCAGGACTACTTGCACCATTCTGACCAATAAGCGAGCGAATTGAAGTTGGTTTGTATTTATCAACCCATAATTCAGTTGATATAGTTCTGCTGGTTGAAAGATTGTCGTTATCACCAGTTACACCAGTAGGAGTCTGAGACTGCACGAGATTATGACTTTTATCAGTTTTTTTTAACAATGAGTTATTAATTAACACAGGACGTGCAGTTAGAAGGGGTTCTTTACGAGGGGAGACATCCGACTCTTTAGAACTTTTATTATGGCTTTCTTGCTTAAGAGGTTTTGAAGTATTGTCTATCGACTTAGCGGATACACTTTTCCCAGGAGATTTTTTAGGACTTTCCAATGTCTTTTCTGCCTTCTTTTTACTTGGTGACTTCATTGTCTTTGAAGATTTTGAAACAATAGAACTGTTTTCATCTGACTGGTGGTGTCTACTAGTATTACCATTCGATTTCTCAATCATTTCAAAAAGTTCGTCTTCAGTAAGCCGCTTAATACTTAGACTGTTGGCCTTTAAAAGGAAGTAAGTGATAATTAGAAAGAAATGCGTATGCCAACACATGCATACAACGCATCCATACATACATCATTTATATCTTACAGGATAGAAAGTTTTCCGAATCCGATAAGCCATTCACTGTAAAAATATAACCTATCGAACCTTCATAGTAAAGTATTCGTTACAACAGTGAATAACGTAGCTTTTAAACAGAACGAGAACAAGGTAAAATATAACTTCTATGTCAACAACCGGGAAATATAATTCCATATGAGATTTGTTGTATAACACACGGTGATACAGTATTATTCTCTTGATGACGTTTCGAGCATTACTCATTCCTTGCTAGTTCACATATTCTATCCAAGATGTCACACAAATAGAGTAAAAAAACCCGTACGATATGGCTTCCTCGCTTAAGCACTCGATTTTCAGGCAACAGGTATCGGGTTCGAAACTCGTGTCATCTACCCTCACCTGTGCGACCGGGTAGAATCAGTAAGTGTGACTCACAAGATAGTAAATAAACATATACCAGGTTGAGTTACATTACTTATCACCTTTTTATAAAGAGCTCAATCTCGTCGAATTTAGTCGGTAGTAGATAGACAGTGGATAAGATTAGTAAATTCAAGGGAATGCATTGTTAACTACCAAATTTCTTAAACGGAATCCAACTCATCGTTTAAACATAAAGGAAACTATGAAGATTCTAGCTAACAATCCTGATCTTTAGATAGAAAAGTCTGTATTTCCTCTCAACTCTTTTTTGTTCATGAAAAAATTAATGAATAGCTTTAACATTCTTCTTAAGCTTTCATCAATAACCTACTTCATCAGTCAGCATTCCATGAGTTCCAGTCCTTGACCTACTTTGATTATCAGAATTTCCACATCCTCATATTGTTTTCGCTGCTCTTATTATCACCTCCATTACTACTGTTTTTCGATACTGTTTCTACAACTGTAGAACACTCATGATTCACCCACAAATATTCATATTTGGTTAAATTTATGTAAATAATATACTGTGTCTATATCGATATGTATTACAGTTAAGTCTGAAAAAATAGGTCATAGTATAACTATTCCCTTATATATATTTCTCTATTGTAAAAAAGTAACATTTAATGAACTCTTGCTCAAAGTCTTTCCAGTGAAGACGACTGATGAAAGCAATAAGGTCAACATATACAAGTGCAAATTAGTGGAATTACAAAAGGATGCGTACCTGCACAAGACGCAAGCTGTTTTCTCTTGTATCACTTCTCAGTAGTTACTTACAAGTTCAGGTGTCAGGGTAGTAAAACAAACTGTGTTTTAGTGGTCTACTGACTTGGTTTTCCGTTAGCGAAACCCTTCTTTACCTGTCAAATTTTAAGCAGCCAACTAGTGCAACTACCCCCTAACATAACACATATGGGTGCTAAATAAACGCGCCACGTACGACAATTTTATAGTTCCTGTTGTGATATATGAAACCAGGAATTCAGAGAAGGGATCTCATTAGAACAAGTGCATTATTAAGCTGTAAATCCAGATATATATACGTATATGTTTTATGTTAAATCCTACTAGGAAACTCCATCCCTAACTCCCCATAAAAAACAGTAATTTAGCCGATTACAATACCATCATTCTGCTACCTTTTATTTTTCTGTATTATCTAAGTCAAATCAGTAACACGTATCTAACACAGCAGTCGACAACTAGTACCTTTATCATATCAAATCTACTACCACAGTCTAACGTTGCACTAACATTTATAGTTTGTCTAAGCACCGATAAAAGTGAATGTTTGATGCTCTGTAAGTAAGAACATTGTTGCGTTGATAATTAATCATTCCATTTAAAGTTACGACGGATAGACAGACGCCAACGAGGTAGCATGACTGTTCAAAATAGAGTAAGTACTGTCTTCATTCATAAATAACACATCAGACAGATTTGCAATCCACGAAACATATCTAGTCATCTACGTTTAAACATTACACCACACCGAGCAGTTTACTTGTCTTATATTACAAAATTCAAAAGATCCATTCAGTCGACAAGAGATGAAGTGTCCTACAAATTGTGACAACCTGTAGACTAAAACATACTTTGTGAATGATTCAAGGGAATCCCAAAAAGGCCAAAAATGGTTGCTATCATGAATTCTCATCAGTTACAAAACATCTTCCGAAAGGTGTCAACAATACTCAAAAACTAACCTCCCAAAGGACGCAGCTCTAAGAGTGTGAGGTATATACCCCATGAGCCCCTAAATATGAACCTAATGACAAAACTGGTGTCTGCAAATGATTCACGATGCGATGGAACTTATCCTTGGTTGTCCTGTTACCGACAGAACAGTGCACTTAGTCAACCCAAAAGAACTATACGAAACTGTGGTCGTTAGCCCCTAGCATTAAACTAGTTTGTCTTGAGAATCAAATTCAAGGTAACGAAATGACTTTTCTGGTCATTTTGAAGGCCACTTTATCAAAGACCCTAAGGAATCCTATCAAGATACATAGCGACGACACAGAATCACTTCCCAGTAGCACATGATTCTCAACGCATTCAACTAACACCCTTTTATGATATTCTTTAAAAAACGTTTTCTCCTTAGGCCATTTTTCACTTCACGCTTTCGAAGTTTGAAAACACTTAATTCTCTATTTATTTGCTACTTACGAACATGAGATACAGTAATTCGATTGAAGGGGATGGGAAAATAAAAAGATGTACTCAGTTCAAAACTCGATGAAAGAGTCCCAACTATGAGGGATTCACTACATAACAGCTGTCTGCTAAGAAAATGATTGCAGCTCTAAGTAATGTCATTTACTAAGGTTTTTCGGAAGGACAAATAGATGATCTTTATTATTACCTTTTCAGTCAATAAACAGCTAGCAAATAGGAAAAGAAGGGAGCTGACAATTATTCTAAAAAATATATAACTTATTTCTTCTAAACAACTTTGTTATGATAACACAGAACTATCTGAAAATAAGTATAAGACTCACAGAAGAAAAGACAGGTCGCTTTTTAGTAATCCCAATAATGACCAATTTATTGCATGAATAAAATAGAAACTCACCTTCTCAATTTTAGTTGCACCAGGATCACGTCCAACCACAAGATAATCAGTCTTTTTACCCAAAGTCTTTAATACTTTCCCGCCACAATTCTGAATAAGATTAGCAGCATCATCTCGTTCAATACATTCTAGCACACCAGTAATAAGAAAGTTTAATCCTTTTAAACAATCTGGCGTACCCTGGAAAACATTGAGAAAATTTCCATCACATTATCACGATTTCATAAGCTTTCGAATACTCTGCTCATCTCTTAAGTGCAAACTTTTACTGAAGGTGACGGCCTGTGTCTGACCACTTAACTTACCTGACGAGTTGGCGGTCAACAAAATCTACGCACGGATACACGAAGATAGCGTTATATCGCAGTTTGAAAGACGGAAGACAATGTAGGCAAGTGAATTTCAACTAGGTGCTTAAAACGTTCTCCATAGGAATTCGTGGTCACATGAGCGCTGACCGACCGATAGGTGCTGCCTTCAGGAAATGGTCGAGTTTCCGTATTATAATGATACAATGACCTCTAATAGTAGGAACGCTACCTCCATGAGCTCCTAGAAAAACAGAAAGGCCTTCTGGATAGAGTTAAGACGAAAAGAGAAAACTCTTATATAGTGGGAGTTTGAGGGGTAAATCGTATTGCACTTGGACAGCCAACGTTACTCCGGTCGATGACCAACAGTATCATACTGATGCTGCCCTTCCCTCGATTAGGAGAAGTACACAACCTCGAAATATGAACGACCATACACCTCTCCCTGCTACCTTAAGTCGCTGGTGGTGTACGGTCTCCGTATAAGGTGTTGGAATAATCCAATCCAGAAACACAATCTTCTAAAGGCCGTGTGAGACCGGCTTCAAGAAATGATACGGCATCTGCAGCAATAAAAATATTTTTCTCTCAAGTACCCAGCGAAACAAAACTTCCCCATAAAAATAACTAGGAAGTACTAGGCATCTCCTCATAAAAATCAGGAATCTTGAGACATTGATGTATCTTGTATTTCTGAGATACGTATATAAGACCTACATGTCGTTCACTTCACCCCACCTGGCCAATACCGTTACCCTTCTTTAAAATTTACTTCACGAATATCCAAAGATTGTTTGCTAGCTCTGGTGAACTCGCTGCTGTGGGTATATCACTTACTCCCCAAGTGGGAAGTCCTCTTCTCAACTGGATACTAGTCAGCACCCGTGTGTATGTGTGTACAGTCCAACTGAAGCGATCTGTAAGAACCAGGAAGGGTCATGACCAACCGATACCTACTCGTACTCTTCACCTACTCATCCACCGACTGCAGTTCGGATGATACAAAGGATGAATTCTATTAGATGCTGTCGATTTCGCTACAGAAAACAAACCGTTCAGATATAGTCATAATATCAGATAAATTCAACGCCCAAATAAAACAGCTGAAACAATTACAAAGACATCTTGGAGGTATCTACGGTATCACATGCTAAAGAACTAACAATGGTCATTGTCTCGCATAATTTCGTTCTGACAATTACTTGTTTCTTGCCAGCACTAACATCAAGCATACAGAAAGAAATGGAGTCCTCTCATATCAAACTGACGATGGATGCATGTTGGTCATATTGCTAAACGTCATCGTTGAAGAGAATCGGTGGAGAATTGCTGCTCTTTCTCGAGTACCTGTTTGGGCTCCGATCACAAGTTAGTATGGTCATGTGTATGTCTACACCTTACTGGTTGTACTCTCCAATAGAGGATGATGACATCAAGTGTGTTATTAGGAAGAAGATAGTCAAGCATTTATTTGAAAGTGACAACCGTCGTCGTTCCGAGGACACCTGGCATAATATTCAGTGTGCTGTAGAAGTAGTGGGAAAAACAATTGGCAACCTGCACCGAAAGGTCGGCAAACGTCAATGGATTCCCACAACGTCATCTGAACTGATCGATGTGAGTAGACTAATTCCAGCTGCGTCTGACCACAATGAAGAGCAAAAGCAATCTAAACATAAGTTGACCAAAAGTCTTTCCAATGATCTCAATCAGTGATGGATGGCGAAAGCGAGAGATGGAGAAAGCATCAGCGTCAATTATTTAGGTCTATCAAGTTTAAGTATAACGGTAAGAATAAAACAATAGTCAATGAGATCATCATCGAGAAGGATAAAGTCCTGATCACCTACCAGGACATTGGATAAAACGTTACGTTAAACGACTACCTGTTAGAGGATGAGTATACTGTGTCGCAGCCCATTCTGTCCTGTCATGCGTCTGTGAATGGTCTTTGTAAGTAATAGAGAGTAATAGAGATTACAGGCTTCTGACCTAAAGTGTTTTCGTAGCATTCCTCGTGTATGGCGGAATCACTGTGTGAGCAACGTAGAGGTTATGGGAAAAGTGCTAGACAGGACAGGCATGTTGGTCGATGATGTTAACCTTCAGTGATTGAGGTGGGCTAGCCATGTATTGTGCATACACCCAGTCATTGCCTACCTTGACGTGTGACGCTAGCCTAGGTGGGATTGAGTTGGAAGAAGGCTGAGGAAGATCAGAACAAGATGTGTCACCAGTCGATGAAGTCTGTGACTGCTGGCCTTTGTTGTGTCGGGAGGTGTAGACTACCTGGCTGTCGTCCCAAGACCATAGGAATCGGTGGTTGAAAACATTTGGTGACATGTCTGAAAATCAGCCTCAATGGTACGGGTGTATTCACTGTTTGACATCTTCTAGAGCTTGAGTATTTCCACTAACCTTCATTTTCAACTCCATTCTCCTCCGATACACCGTCGTCTCCTTTGATATCGAGCTTTTTCGACCCACTTGTTTTTTGCATGCTACTGTGAAGTGTGACGACGCGAATCGACGCATTTCCACGCAAGGTTCTATACTGATTTTGTCTATCTATTATTTTGACGAAAGAGCAGTCTAGTGATCGCAGGTTTTCTTTCAATAGTTCTGATGCTATTCCATGAGGAATATCACCCTTATATCGATCAATCCCCACAGAAATACCACTTGAATTACAAAAATTTCTATTGAGTTTTACAGTCTCATGCTACTTGTGGCATCGGCAAGATACCCAGTTACCTACTAGAAGTCAAGTGTACTCCATAACAGTTCACTCTTCTCTACTTTATCGCCGTGAAATATGATTAATTGAAGCGAAAGACATGCGAATGTTCAAGGTGTGCAATCACTGTTGCCTTAAAATCAATGGCCGTGTTATGAGACAACCATGTTAATAAAGCAAAAGTTGGAAAGTACAAAAACTATGTCGATTGATGAAGCTATGAGCTTTTACTGACTGAACTGCCTAGGCTGTTGTAACCATGCTCACTCGCCGTCAAAGCCCAATGCATGGAATTACTGTGGGGCTGGAAGAAACAGACAGAACCAAGAAATGGAACCCCCTCTATGATATGTCTGACGATCGGTTTGAATAGTGAGTGGAAATGTAGACTTTAACGTTGGGATTTACAAGATAAAGAATGGTCAGAGTTTAATTGATACTATTCATAATCGATCGCTACGGCTTAAAGCCACCCACGCCTTACCTTCATCCTCACCGCTATATCACACCTCACTATTTACTTTAACGCTTATTCTTTTACCTTTATACTGCTTCGATTATAAATTTTTGTTTCGTCGACTTGTATCATGATATGCTGAGGTGAAGTATAGCTAACTGAACTGCTACTCAGTAGTCGTATGTTGAGCTGCTGCCCACTCACCTAATCACTTTTCCTCAAGCAAGTTGTTTCAGGTTTAAATCCCATTCAACCTAGTTTAGTATCAGCAACTGCGTACGGGTGTCAGCCCTGACACATAAAGAGCATCAAAGAGCACTATGAGATTAAGTTCATTTCAATATTCTTCAATTAAAATCAGGTGTTGCATAAATCAACTAGATTGTGTACATGAACAATGTCGCAATCATCTTAGGGATGCACACTATTTAAATTAAACAATTTATGATGAACATTACAGATTATTAGCAAGATGTAACACAAGATCAAAGTGTAGTTCACTGCGTTCAAGCAGTATCAAAATATGTAGTTATCCAATGAATCTTACTACACTTAATAACCCTTTTATTTATTTGAGTTCAAAATTCATAGAAATAGTAGAAAATATTTGTAGCTTAAGTTAGGGATGATAAATGTTTGGTATTCTCCGAGCTCTGAAATTTGTTCTTTGACGTTTCACCACCTCTCAATGCATTTAACCGGAATTGAAAAAAGAAACTAACCGTGGGGATTTCTCTTGATCCGAGACATCGAGGACCGTCACGAGCTTTGTATGCCCAGAACGCCTTGCGATCTTTTGTCGCATGGTCAGTACTATCATTGAGAGATTCACTAGCCTAAAAAGCCAAGAAAGACATGAGATGTTTGAAGTGTGTCGCATATCGTCAGAATCTACACAAAGCAAAAGTCTTCCCAATAACCGTAGTACAAAAATAAACTTAACTTCATGATAACTAGTGGTACACGAATAAACCAAATAATCTTAAAGTTAAATATGGTAGATGCGTTCAGTCCAAATTGGGACTCATCAGCTGCATGTACCTGCACCCCAGTGAGTGATAGTGTTCCCACTGAGACTCGAATCCAGCGCCCATCGCACTAAACGTTAAACGTTGTTCACTAGACCACTGAGACACGAAAGCCGCCTTATATGCTACGGTTATTAGTTATTATTGTCATTATTATTCACCGATGTGTGTAATTCCCCGCGGTCAAACAGGATCGAAGTGATCGACCTCTGTTGGCACATGGACTCCTATGATGTCTCGATACTGCCTGATTATCCATCACCATAATTCAGTTGGTGGTGGCTTGCAGTGGAATTCAGGACGTGTGTTTCAAGTAGGAAACTACAAGCCTCAACAAATAAGGATAACTAATACCCGTTGTAAAATAGGCGGCTCTCTTGCCTAAGTGGATAACGCTTCAGCATTTGATGTGATAAGTACGAAGTTAGAGTCTCAGTGTGAACACCATCACTTACTGGAGTGCAAGCACATCCAGCTTACGAGTCGAGAATGGGAAGAAATGAGCATCCTGGGTCCCACTGTTGGCCACCACGAAGTAAATTATAACAATGAATATTCAAGCAATATCGAGGTACCCGCATAGCAGCCCATATTCCAACAGACGTGTATCAGTTCCATTCATTATAACAACAGGAAATTACAAGTATCAATAAGCAATGGCATTATCTTAATTTTATCTTCGTCAACGATCTCTAGGGATTCAACTCATCGGCTTAGGTAATCGACTTTCTAAAAACGGGTCTCGAGTTCCAAATCTGCTCCAAACGACCTCAGTCTTAACAAATGAGTAAAATCATAACCCCTTACATCATGGATTATAGCCTGATAAACAAACCTGTTGTACTGAGCTGATGAACTGCAGATTATCAACGACTCGTGTACTGTTCGCAAACAGGAAAATTTAAATACTGGATCAAACCTGTGAACTATGTACAGGTTAACCTATCGATGAATCATCTACAGCCACTATTTGTGGTCAACATATTCGATCAATATGACTCATTTCTTACATTTAAAACCCATAAAAACAGTTCAACCTTGTATATGCCTATGATACTATATGGTTTTCCAAACGGTAGTAGGTGAAACAGTAAGTGAACCCAGAACTAACTAACTAACAAATACACAAGTCAATCAGCCACATGAGCTCAAAAAGGTTTCAAATGGCGCACTACCTTTGAAGCGAAAATTTGTTTACTGTAGTTTCGAAAATTCTCGAAAGACTTTGATTATTATCTCCCAAATTATCCTCTGTATGATTTAAAGTAAGACATCGTGTCTGGAAAAAGGATCAGTTTGTGCGTAGTCGGGAAAAATCGTGTACACTAGTACACCAGTGACAAAATCACACTGAAGCCAGTGTGGATCACTGAAAAAAGTGAAATATAACGATAAACTAAGATAATATCTCCATCCATCTCATGGAGGATAGAGAAGTAACGAATCGAAATCCACATTAATGTAGTGGATGATGAGCCAAATCTATTGTGAGGACTAATGATATTATTGCCTGGATGTAAAAACCTCTGTAGGTGCAGTGGGTAGGATACCCGTAATCCACTGATTAGTTTCCTATGGAGTAATACCATAGCTGCTCCAACAAATTAGACATAAGACACTAACATCCAGTTGCCTAGGCTCCAAATCTCTTTTATCTACACGTTTCCTCCTTACAATAAGTCTCATTACTGCATGCGGATGTAATTAGTGTGGCGTGAAGACAAGCATACACTCCTACAACTTGACCAAGCAAAAAAACCGACCAAAAACTATTGCAAAGCACAGATAACCAACTTTAGTTAATTACTATAACAGGCCAATTGCGCATCAATCGGTCATTTTTTACAAAGCTTGAGCAGATAATCAAGTCAAATGAATTTTCCTTTACTCAGCATGTAATTTTATTTCTTCTTAGTGAGAAACCAATGCTTGCGACTAGCCTGAGCAAACCAAGGAGGGGTTCTATAATTCAGCTAAAACTAACTAATTTGTCCCGGAAAACAAACGACACAATTAGCTATCACATGTAACCAATAACAGAAGCTAGTTGTGATCTGTTTTCATTTTGAACACAAAAAGTAAGATACGTCTGAAAAAAAACTGTCTTTAGACTACGAAACATGCCCATTGAGTCATAGAGAAGAGATAATTCGTCGAAAAAGAAAAGTTTCTTCACCGAATAATCTCTTATCTAGAACCGTCCTTACTTGACAGCTTTCTCTACACATGTTTTATGAAACAAGTCTTGCCGCTTAATGAAGTCCAGTTTTTCATTTCAAATAAATAAACAAAAAAATGTCATAATCACTACGAACTATAAAACTTCGTGTCCCAACAATGTCTAATGACAACCAATGACTGATTTTTTCATGAGTAACAGGATACAAGATATCAGTTAATAGGAAATCAGACATCCTGAGTCAATTGTTTCGAAAAAGGAAACTAAAGAAAACAGGAAATATATGGCGCAGATAAAACAAATTAAAACTAAGAGAAAACCATATTATCATAAACGTTTTGCTTCAAAAACTAACCTTTGGTGTAGTTTGATTGTTAGTAACCTTCTTCAGGTTTTTAGAAGCATTTACAACCACTTTGGGCGAGCTGCTCACTTTTTCTTCGATACGCATTGGTTCCTTTGGAGATAGTAATGGTGTATCAGGGATTATCTCTATTGGCGAGTGAGGTGGTGTGTTAAAATCAGCTGAGGGCTTCAAAAGAAAAACAATATTTAGGTGTGCAGCAGTAGAAAGTAGATAAATATGGTAAATATAAACTTTCTAAGGTAAAGAAATCACTGTAACCAGTTCGATAAGCAGTTATGATCAGCCGAAAAAAGTAGTTACGGGAATGGATAGTCGGCTGAATAACCAAGGACATTTGCCTTTAAATGTTTATTAATGAAAACTAAAAATGAGCTGGTCGATATAGCGTTTCCTGAAACAGTGGTGTTTCGTGTTGTCACTTAGAAATCCACCCTTAAGTAACTAAACAATCTTAAATACAATCCACTATAGGCACTTTTCTGAACAACTTTTCCGAGTAAAAAAGCGTGTAAACCTTCATCACCATTCGCATATTTACACTTGCATTCTACTCAAGAAATCTATTAAGTTTTCATACGAATTAATAAGTAATACATGTAAGGACCAAAACCACTTCAAATATACTTTCTTCCAAATTTATCTTTAATAAAATATTTAGTGATGAAGACGTAACTATTTGGTCATTACTTCATTTATTTGAATAAAACGCTAAGGTATTTTCTAAAAGAGTGTGCAACAAAGACAACTATACTGTATAGTGAGATTCGTGAACTAAGCGATGAGCCACACTTATTTTGTGAAAACTACCATACTACCTGACTGACTAGGCCTCAATAAATGAGGCGGGCTTTCAACCTGCAACTCACTTGTTAGTTATCAACAGTTTAAACGAGTGAGCTACAGCTCTGACGACGATGCATTCAAAACTCATTAATGTCCATGAGTTATTGTTTATAGTGCGTAATGTTATTATCCGTTAACATAAATCAAAATGAACGAAATAAGAGCTCAGCTATCCAAAGCCAGAATATGTCTTCATTAATATCTATTATGGGAGAACACATCTTCAGTCGGAATCAATGTAAAGCCCAGCACTGCTGCGCAACCACCCAAGTGGTTTAACCGCAAATCTCTTCAATAAGGTACTAGACAGTAAAATGAAAGATTGAGAAATGGTGAAGAAAAACAATCAGAACTTTTCATACCCTCATTGTTTAGAATATACCTGGCACAATATGAGAAAGAAGAGATTGACCATTAAAGAAGCAGTCCTGAACATACATACAAGGAAATATTCACTACTTTTGTTTTGCTTTACAGTAACAGAAGCAGGAAAGCTGAAATTTCATACCAGATTTGCTTTTATGATGACGTTTCGAGCAGAGATTATTGCTCATAATCATATCAAAGTAGTCACACAGCTTTTGACATCAGATTTTTATAGTCACCACATATTCGTTTCTTAAGTGGTAGTAAGATTTTCCACATCTCCGATAACGGTGCTATATTCCCAGAGATGTCCACTGTCACCACTACTATTTCACTTCGTCATAGATGTACCAATTGAGATAACCCTAGGTACGCCCGACTTTAAAAGGTTGATCTACCCTCTTGAGGGCATCTAGCTGACTTGGAGTATGCAGACAATACTGTCCTGGTAAGTGAAGACGCTGACAAAGTCCGGGGCCTTCTGAACACATTGAGAAGGAATCTGAGTATGTCTGGCATGCGCTCCGCTGGCCTCTGTCAAGTGTAAGATGATGCTTCAGGACTGGTCTGCAACCACTCCCACTTTAACGATAGGGAGTGAAGTGTTGGAATGCGCCGATCACTTCATTTACTTAGGGAGCTGTATCAGCGCATCGGACAGGGTGGTTGCTAACGAAATCTAAGCCCAGATAAAGATCTGCTTGACATTTGCCAACTTTTGTCACCTGTGGCGTCGGCAAGATACCTGACTATCTATCAAACAACGAGTATGCTATACTGCAGTCCATTTCATCTTGTCATGCAGCTGTGAGACATGGGAGTTAAAAGAAAACATGAAGTAGTAACAGAGTTTTGATCACAGATGTCTTCGTGCCATTTCCCGTGTTTGGTAGAGTCACCGCTTAAGCGATGCCGAGGTCTAGCGTAGGGTACTAGAAAAGAAAGGCAAGTCGAATGATGAAGTTGTGAACCTCCATCGCCTGAGGTGGCGTGGAAATGTGTTGCGCATGCCCAACCATCACCTACCTCGACGTGTCATGCTAGGAAAGAGAGTTCAGAGTGGCCAGGTCAAGATATAGCACCAGTTCATCAAGTCACTGACTGCCGATCTCAGTCACGTTAGGAGATGTAGACTACCTGACAGAGGTCCCGGAAAAGGTACGAACCAGTCGTTGAGAACTCTTGGAGACAAAAATCGGTCACAATGACGTCTTATAAAGCTTGAATATTCTGAATAAGCTTTATCTTCAAATTCTTTGTTCTGTGACACGACTTTGTCTATTCTGATATCACTCTTATGCTGTCCACTTGTTCTTTGCAGATTATTGTGAAGTTTGGCAACATAAGCCAATGCGCTTGTGTGCGAGGTTCTACGTTGATTCGGTGTGTCTGCTGCGTCATTCCGACTGCATGTGCTGTTTGTGGATTCGACTAACAAAAATTCAGTAATCAACCTCTCTCTCCACTTGACTATATTGCAATTAGGTAAAGTGGTTGGTTTCACCCCACCCTATTGTGTGGTTGTGTTAATGCATGCACTGGAATAGTCGAGATTTTTAAAAAAGATAATTGATCCTAATAGGGTCTACCATTCTACATCTGGCTAAATTCCTATGTTCCGAGAATCTAGCTGACTCTGATCGCCTAGTTTGGTCTATGTACTTGACGTCACAGTCACTGCATGGAATTTAATAGATTAGATTATTTTGTTTAACTGGGCCTATTGGATCCTTAAGCTCAAAAGGCTTATTCCTGAGGGCGTTTGTGAAGTAAACTAAACACTGAATCAGAACTTACTCATAGAACTAATGTATCGGTTGATGAGATCCTGACCCCCATAGTCTTCAAGTTTCAGAACAAAATATATTATCAAACAGAAGGAGTATCAATGGGATCAATGATATCCTCAGTCGTAGCAGATATATGCATGGATAGTTAGGAACACCGCTTCAAGAACATTTAATCATACACCTAAGGTATGGTGATGATATCTGAATGACACATTTCCTGTCTGGAGATCAGAACACTTCGATTATTTCTTCAGACATCTAAACTCAGTAGTAGATGTAATCCAGTTAACTTGTGATATAGAAAATGAACAAGGGGGAATTCGTTGTGATGAACTGCAAAGTAAAACGAAGAGCAGATGGCGGTTTAGATACTGCTGTTTACAGGAAACCAACATATTCTAACAGGTATCCAGACTTCAGGCTATCTCATCCAATACCACTTAAGAAAGGTTTTGTCAAATGTTCAAACAAGAGAGCTAGAAAACTCACTAGTAAATGCAAAGATTTATGTAAGGAAACGCTACTAACTAATAATTTTCCCATAGAGTTTATCAGGAAATTCGTACGAACAATATAAGAAACAAAGTAATGACTAATATGAATGTGAATGATGACGACGACAACTTCATCATCATTATTAACATAGGACCAGGCATTACTGTGTAACGGTTCGAGTTGCCACACCTCATATCAGCACATCAAGTAAAAAGGTAGTGAGGCGAAGGATGAAGATAAGTGAATGCAGTCAAAAGAAATATAAAGTACGAGAAGAACGGAAAGAGGAGTGACAAAATGGTGAGATTCGGTATAGCGTTGTTAAGATGAGGATAATGTGTGTATACATCTGCGCCACTGACTTCGGTTCTGACGACGACAACACAAGTAGGAGTTCGACACTTCTATTATTTTGCCCAATAAACAAGAGATATCATAAGCTCTGCGTAGATTTCTCAACTAGGCTGGAAATAGGGTGGTATTCAAAGATGCAAATGCTCTCAGAGACAAGCCTTCTCAGCTTGAGGATCCAATAGGCCCAGTTAAACAAAATAATCTAATCTATTAAATTCCATGCAGTGACTGTGACGTCAAGTACATAGACCAAACTAGGCGATCAGAGTCAGCTAGATTCTCGGAACATAGGAATTTAGCCAGATGTAGAATGGTAGACCCTATTAGGATCAATTATCTTTTTTAAAAATCTCGACTATTCTAATGCATGAAACCAACCACTTTACTTAATTGGAATAAAGTTAAATGGAGAGAGAGGTTGATTACTGAATTTTTGTTAATCGAATTCACAGGCAAGACATGCAGTAAAAATGAAGCAATGCCAATACCAGAGATGTGGAGAATTCTACTACCACTAAGTAAAAAAATATGATGTAATAGGATTAGGACGTCGAAAGCTGTGTGACTACTTTGATATTATGAGCAATAATTTATACTCGAAACGTCATACTAGTAAATAGTAATGTATCACTATGTTCTATAACAAATAAAAAACTTAATATGGGATTACATTCCACCGTAACCCTCATGTTTTACAGGAAAGCTGCAGCATAATCGTGACAGGTTTCAATTCTGAACGATGAGTGCTATCGTCTCAAGCCATTGAGTTGTATGACCTCTTGGACCACATCAAGGAGCTCTTAAGGCAACAATATAAGCTAACCAAACACGACAATCACTTAACGCAATGTAGTAAGTCATAAACTAACTGCGTCCCTACCTCTTCAAAAGATTTTCAGGGCAAGCTAATAGTAAACGGTATGTGAGCCACTGGGAGTAAACTAGATAGTGAAACCAGCGTTTTAGGATATCATTAAGTGAATAATGATCTGTATAATGCACAAACACAAGCCACCTCACCTGAGAACTAATTACATATTGTTGACACTGACTGCTTAACATGGTGTTTCAACCTGATGCGAACAATTCTTCAGAGAGAAAAATGATCGAAAACTCAGTCATCGAACATCCTCCATTTGAAGAGACTAGGTTTCACAGATGCACAGCACAATTATCCACACTGACGTATTACATACCCGACCATTTACAACAACATCGACATCATGACAGTACAAAAGGTAACTTAGATTGGCATATGCTACCCTGGTTTTTGACGTGCGTTGGAAATCTTATCAGCCACACTTCCACCAGCACTCA